GCCATGAGCTGTTTTGGATCAAGGTTTTGGATGTATATACCACTCCATGGCACAGTCTGTTCTCCGATTGCGGTACCGCGGAGCATTGTTGTAGCACGACCACTCCGCAAAGTACAGTGATATTTTGGTGCTGTGCGTGCGATTTTGACCCAGGCGCTGGTCCATACATGCGGGCCGCTTCCGCTTTTGACTTAGCCTCCATGACGACGAGGCACTCGCGGATTTACTTTCCGGTCGATGCTAACAGTAAAACCAGAAGTCCGGGACTGACAACTCCATTAGATGGTTTCTCCTGCAGTGTTGATCTTTTAGTGGTGTATATAGAACGAAATCGTTCCAGAAGTTATAATAGGCAAGCTGTTAGTTTCACCGTAGCGGCTATTTATCCCCTACGCCACGGAAAGGCCAGCTGCTTGTAGGGGGTCCTCCTCTTTCTGGTTCCATGGTAACATTCGGTGTTCATGACCCTCATTTAGATGCCTTTATCAATGGAATTTCGTGGAGCGAGCAGTGAAAGGGAAAAAGTGAAATGGTAAGGGGGGAGCGATCGGCAACGGCCAACATTACTACCTTGAATACGCCATTTGACGTGAGGAGACGAAGTATAATTGGCGAGGCGACAGATAGTGACCGACATTAGCTGTTTCTTGTCCCTGTTTCGATCCTCGCACCGTTCCGGACGAGCATCGCCGCGAGTACCTTCAGCTTTTGAACAGTTTTCAGTCTTCAGAAGCTCCCGCCCGCAGATAGTCTGTGCTCATGCGGTGCTGGTGCATGACTGTTTGAAATTTCCGCAACATTCGGTCACTATGTCGTTCATTTGAAACTGGCTACCCGCACAAGAGCCATCAATTCGCACCCCTTCGCTCGTAGGTGCGGTCACTTGGACGATTTAAGTGCTATGATTTCCCCCCCCGGAGCAGCCTTCTCATTTCATCTCGTAGCGGAAAGCGGTAGTCCCTAATGCATCGAAGAGGTTGATTTCCGATGGGCCATGGCGAGTTCGTGGGCAAGGTGTCGAAGTCTTTGCTCAAAACCCTCTCTGAAATACAAAAGAGAGAAACCTGAAAGAGACACTTGAGGAAAAGGTGATTGTTATTTTGAGCTCTACTCACAGAGGCAGAGCTGACAGCATACACGTCCTTCCACATGCTTTTGATGCACCGAGGAAGTCGAGCAAGATGCTGGAGGACTACCTCCATCAGATTGGTATAATCGCTCTTTTAACAAGCTTGAGCCCAAAGATGCAAGGGCTTCCCAGGAATTGGCTCGAACACCTACATTGGGGAGGGATTCTCGACATTTTGAAGTAGCGCGATCAACTTTTACAAGACGCTTTGGGGAAGAAGTATAGATATAAAAATCGACAGATAAAATATACGGGCTATGATCCGAACGAGCGTGACAGGACATGAAGTTCCAGACTCGCGAGTTTTGCCATCAAGAATGTGCTTGCACACAAGCCTTGGATGTGGATGGTCAAGCATTTGCAAAGTGCCATTGTTGAGATCGGGAGGAGCAATCCAAGGAAGAAGGACCTCTAGACTGTTGAGCCGGCAAGTCCTGTCCGCCTTCACTGGGTCTCGAGCCGGAGGTCATCAGACATCCCCGGTACCTATTCTGAACATGCCACGACCTATGATCTGGCTGCCAAGATCTCAGTATCATGGGCTCCTTGCGCTAGAGTTTTGAACAAGATCCAGGTATCCAGACGCACGAGAAAACGCTTCAAGGAGTGGCGGTGCTCGACGCATAGTCGTTGTAGATCCTGTCTTTTGATGGCTTGCAACCAGCTTTCTCGGATCCCCGCCATCTAAGATTGCGAATATAGGACTTTGAATGAAGTATATAAAAGATTCTGGTTTGGAAAAGAGGAAGTCGGATATCGTACTCTTCTCCGATAGCTTTTGAAAGCTATCGTAGTCCCTCCGCCTGCCCAGAGGGGAGGTCATAGTAGGCCAGCGCTAGTGCTTTTGAACCAAGCCACGGTGTGCTTTGACCATCTGTTTGCAAGTTTTTGACCGCTTTCCATGACCTCATCCAACCACGCATTTTTGCAATGCGCTAGCAAACAGCTGGCCATAGGAGCCTTGGTAGGAGCTTTATACTCTCAAGGACGTGCCAAGCTTCTGATGCGGAAGATTGGTCTCCACCGAACATGTGTGCCTCCAAGCGTCGCTTTTGAACCTCCAACGTAGTGTAAAGCATGATATAATCTCTGAGAACGGCAGCTTCTGCCATGACGCAGTGCTGCTTGGAGTTTGTATAGCATCGTTTCTATAGAGAATATATACTACTAGCAAAGAAGACGACTCGAACATTGTTATGAAGAGGAATACAGAGACCAGTCATAAGTTTATGCACACAGGTGTGCCGCTGCTTGGGGTGCCTTGAGGGGCTTTCAGAACTCGAGTCCGATGTCAAAGTCGATGCAGTAGAGATCGGACTGCCTTTTGACTGACCGACTACCTGCCAGCCGGGACATCCCACACAGTGGTGTCAAGTGAGCAAGAATGGAGCCGAGCAGTGATGAGTCCGTATGTTTGGATATGAAGAAGACGCTGGCGAACGGCGGCGAATTACTGGACCATTGATCCTTGTGGGGATAGGTTTTAAAATCGGTAAATCCATGATATCGCATGAACTTGGGTCAAGTGTTTGAATGTATGCCACCTAGCCAGAGCCAGAACGATGCCAGGACGGGGACCATAGTAAAGCATATCGTCGCCTTTTGATCACAAAATCGAGCCAACCTGAAGGCGGGAGAAAAGATCCATGACCCTCGAATCTCGCCAGTTTTGATGCAGCAAAGGCACACCAGCGGACAGATGCAAAGAGCTGGACCATCGGGTGTGAAATATTGACAGGCGGATTCTTCAAGGGGGTATCTATTTCTTTTCAGAGATCCGCGGAGGAGCACAGACAGCCATCATTTCATCCCGCTAATTGTTTTAAACAAGCCAGAACTGGCACCATGCCACGGCGTGAAGTCCAATTTTGACCGTGCAATCAACCTAGTCTGATGTCGGAGGAAGCAATCCATGGGGTAGGCGGTAAGTTATTTTTGATATAAGAGAACTCCGACGAACTGCGACTGAGTGTTGCACCGTTGATCTTTATGTCTTGATCTCTCGATCGGCAAATCCATGATTAGCCATGCGATGGCTTTTTAATTATCACGACCAGCACAGGCTACCATCGCTTGGTTCCATGGATAGTCTTGACAAGTATAGGTAGACCAAGCTAAAGCATCGCCAGAGAGACGTTTCATAGTTCTTCAGAACCTTTTAGATCTATAGTGTAGCCCCACCCAGATTAATGAGGAGACCATGATGCTGGAGTGCTAGCTGTTTCGATCGTGATGAAATATATGGAATCGAGGCCCAGCCATAAGGAGTCGACCTGTCGATTTTGAGCAATTCGGATCCCCATCGGAAGCAGAACGCCAATTCACAAGAAGCGGGAAAGCGATTCTTGATCACCAGGGCAGCGAAATGGCCGGCGAACACGTGGTCGTCCTTTCCAGTCCCGAATCTACCAAGTGGCGCCGCGGAAACAGGAACGGAAGGCGACCCATCGTTCTCCTTCCCAATTCGTTTTGCACAGAATGATTGCGGACCGGAAAAGAGAACGATCCACAATGCTTCCTCAGAGCTATTTTGATCCGACTAGGTTCCCGGACGGCAACAAAAAGACGGGCAAAGGAAATGAAGGCCAATATATCCCGAAGTTGACCGATCTTTGAACCAGGAGCAGAGAGGCGGAGCATTGGTCTGTTTGCGCGACGGTTTTTGCTCCACGAAATCCCCAAGCAGGAGCAGAGGGACGAGCCATCAGGATGGTGTCTAGGATGTTTTGATTCGACTAGTTTTCCTGACGAAAGCAGAAACACGAGCCATCAACGTTCTACGGCGAGATTTTGCAGCAAGGGATCCCAGAACCGCTGCGCAAAGCCATATAGAACTCGTCTCCCTCTTTTTAAAGAAATTCCGATTGGCCGCGCGGAACCATTGAATGGGTTGATCTCCGTTTTTAAACGACCGCAAATGGACGGCCGGCCCTCCAATCTCTCATCGGGCGGGGTTGTAGTCAATTTGACCTGGGCGCCGGAGCAAAGCGGGCAAACATGGAATGCCTTTCTACTAGGCAATTAGTAAGTCGCTAAACAGAAGCAGCTCGAAATCAACCACTGTGTGAAAGCTTACCTGAGCCGTTTTGATCGATATACTTGGCATTCTTCGTATAGTTATATAAGTGTGAAAATGAGTATAAGAGAGTGTGATTTGCAGTGAGCTGATGAGATAGATGCTAGAGATGAGATTCAGGGCTGTTATATAGACGGCGAAATTGGTCACGTGTATATCGTGTTTGCTTCGAATGTCTTTTGGAAGGTCACTCGATAAGTCATGGAGACCCTCGAGGTCATATGCGAGTAGGAAAATTAAGATGAAGAGATAGCAAATATGAGAGGTTAAGAAGTTGACATTGGTTCTAAGGTCGGTCGATAGGTCCTGAAGACCCTTGAGGTCATACGCAGACGGGAAAAGTAGGAGGGAATGGTGGCAAATATGAGAGCTTGTGGCATTGACATTAACTTTGAAGGCCACTTGATAGATCCTGAAGTCCCTCAAGGTCATACGCGAGTGAGAAAAGCGAAAGGGAAGACCAGCAAATATGAACGGTGTCCAAATTGGCATTGACCAGTTGTCCACAATACGCCCCATCTAGCTGCAGGAAAAGGGAAAAAAAATTCGCAGAAACGTAAGGTCATCGAGTAGCTGTCGGTCATGGGCAGCGATTCTGAGCTCTGAGGTCGTTCTGAGCTCTGAGGTCGTTCCCTTTTCTTCAAGGCGCATATCATATGGCTTTCTCAAACTTCTTGAACAACCAGTCACCAGGGCAACCCACGAGGACCTACCCAGTAACCAAAAGCTCCATTGTCAAAGCCTAATACTCATCTATCATCCAAACCTTTACTTTTTTTTTTCTCAAATCCCCCTCTACCGCCCCATCCAGCCCCCATCCACCGTCAAAATCTCCCCACTAACATACGCACTCGCCGCGGCCGCCAAAAACACCACCGCGCCCTTGAAATCTTCCGGCCGTCCCCACCTGCCCGCCGGAATTCTCGCCAATATACTTGCGGCACGCTCTTTATCTTCCATAAGCGCCGTATTCATCTCCGTCGCGATATACCCCGGGGCAATCCCGTTGACTGTGAGGCCCTTCCCAGCCCACTCATTGCTCAATGCTTTCGTGAGCTGTGCGACACCGCCTTTTGACGCGGCATAGGCGGGGACCGTGAGCCCACCTTGGAAGGAGAGGAGAGAGGCGATGTTTATGATACTCCCCCGACGGCCGCCGGGAAGGTCTGCGGGCTGAGCGAGCATGTGTGCGCCCACATCGCGGGCGAGGGTAAAGACGGCGTTGAGATTGACTTGGATGACAGCGTCCCAGTCTTCGGTGGGGAATTGGTGAGAGGGATGGCGCTTTTGGATGCCGCCGCAGTTGAGGAGGATGGAGATGCGGGTATTGGGTTCTTTCTCCAGGATAGAGGGGAGGAGGGCGGCGACGGAGGCGGGAGAGGAGAGGTCGGCGGTGTAGATGGTTGCGCGGCGACCGAGGGCTTCGATGGCTTGTTTGGTGGACTGGTTGGACGTGTCGCGCTGGGTATTTTAGTGTCTACTGCTGGTTTTTGAGGTTGCTGAACCTAATGCGTACCTGGACGAGGAGGATGTCTGCGCCAGCTTCAGCCAGGGCGAGGGTCATTGCTTGACCTATCCCTCGCGTGCCGCCTGTGACGAGAGCCGTTTGGCCCTCTAGCGAAAACAATTGCTGTACGGAAGTCATGGTGTTGGTGCTAGTCGTGGGACGCTTCGGGTCAATCTGGTGTTGAATCTGCTGAAGACGACCAGAAGCCATGAGCATGAAATGCTTTTAATCGCGGTGTCAGGGCCATCGGGGCGCGTGTACCTGGGCAGCTCTTCAACGGGTGGCACGGCGCCAGTTAATCCGTGGGCTGACCGGGCCGCGGTGCTGTGGGTGATGCAGCTGGGCGAGAGAGCATCGCGAGTGGATCGTCGGTGTCTGATGTCCCGCTTCATTCGCCGACAGCGACCGCAATTGTCCCTATTGCCACTCGCAAGAGGCAAGAAACCCCGCGGCCCGGCATGCACCCTTCAGAGCGGGCTTGCGTCGAGGCCATCCGTAGTTTCGTCCGTCAAGCAGCGGGCCCTCGGCGCGTGGGGCGCGTTGTTCAAAAGTTTGAAGTTTGTTCACAGCTGATGCTTTCTACTTTTCTGCTAGAACACTACTACCACGATCACTGCCAAACAGACTCAATTCACGCTCGGCATCCTCCAACATGTCTGCCACCAAGTCGCCTGACACGCAGCAGACCAGGCGTCAGATAAAAGCGTCAGTGCTACACGGCGCGAAAGACTTGAGGATTGTACGTCACATGCTCGTTCGGCGCTGAAGCTTCTGACATTATGTAGGAAAGCAGAAGTTTGTTTCCACCAAACGCAGACGAGCTTCAGGTAGCGATCCGGGCAACTGGTCTTTGTGGTTCTGATCTCCATTACTACCGCCATTACCGCAATGGCGACATTATGGTGCGAGAGCCCATGTCACTAGGCCACGAATCTGCAGGCGTTGTCGTTGGCGTGGGCTCATCGGTCAAAGACTTCAAGATTGGGGACAAGGTGGCGCTAGAAGTCGGTTTGCCTTGTGGAGAGTGTGACAGGTGCGGAGAGGGGAGGTATAACATCTGCAAAGCTATGAGCTTCAGGAGCTCTGCAAAAGCATTTCCTCACGCGCAGGGTACACTACAAGACAGAATCAACCATCCTGCGGCGTGGTGTCACAAGTAGGTCTTTTCTTCCATCATTTGAGTCACTCGGAGGCTAATTGGAAAGACTACCGGACGATGTCTCACTAGACCTTGGAGCAATTCTAGAACCGCTTGGTGTAGCAATTCACGCCACAAGAAGAGCAAATCTTCCCACTGGAAGCACAGTTCTAGTCTTCGGAGCAGGCGCGGTGGGTCTTTTGGTGGCCGCAATGGCGAAGATTTCGGGCGCGAGTACGGTCATAATAGCTGACATTGATTCCGGGCGCGTGGACTTCGCGGTAAACAACGCGTTTGCACACAAGGGATACACGGTCCCTATGAAGCGAGGAAGTACCATCGAGGAGAATCTGGCCATAGCAAAAGAGACGGCAGCTGAAATTGGCAAGGTAAAGAAGTCAAGCGGTCAGCCTGCAGTGGAGGTTGATGCCGTGTTCGAGTGCACTGGAGTGCCTTCGTGTCTCCAAGCAGCCATATTTGTAAGTCGGCCTTCCTTCACCCTTCAATTCGAGAGCTAATGTCACAGGCCACTCGCCCTGGTGGTAAAGTGATGTTAATAGGCATGGGTACGCCAATCCAAACTCTCCCCATATCAGCTGCCGCACTCCGCGAAGTTGATCTAGTCGGCGTCTTCCGATACGCCAATACGTACCCCATGGGCATTGAAGTTGTGTCAAAGAAGGGACCAGACTACCCAGACTTCTCAAAGCTGGTCACGCATAGGTACAAGGGACTCGAGTCGGCCGTGCAGGCATTCGACATGGCGGGCAACACAAAAGACGTGGATGGCAAGCTGGTCATCAAGGTGGTCATTGAGACGGATGAAGAGGACAAAGCGCGTCTATAATGTCAACATCTCTTAGCTTCGTAGACCACTGAGCTGTACATATCTTTCTTCTGGAGCTTTGTGCCATTACACTGACCGTCCTGCCGTGCTGTGGATGGTGCTCCTGTGTGCCAAATGCAAATGCGCAGCCCCTAACTCGGCACGACGCGTGGTTACACAGTCTGCCCCAAGTGACTGATCTGGAAATGCCAAAAGTGGTCTGAAGCATCCAAGCCTCACGATAGACGGAAATAGACAGCTCAAAACTCGGAGTTATGATAATGGCCAAAGCTCCTTCCGGGGATCATGTGCCAGGCACCAACTTCAGCCAACCCTCCACTCGAAACAGCAACTTTGCCCATCGTGAACTCTCCAGCCGACCAGAACCCGCAGATATTATCGGGCTCCCCGCCATTCACCCCGCGGCGGGGTCATACGCCGAGTGTACCCCTTGCCACGATGCGCGCCAGGGACTCCACTACAACTCCACATGGCGCAGGAGTTAGCCGAATATTTCTGTTTCTTGACGACGCCATGGCCGCAACGGGGACGGAGCTCCTCAACGGCCGGGGAGCTTTGCTACGGAAGGTTTGGGGAGGGCAGGGACCGAGCTTCGCCAGCAGGTGGGGAGAAAAAGTGCAGCCAGACGTGTTCTCGTCGTGCATGTACCGTGTCTGGCTGCTGCTGCTGGTGAAAGCTATAAGTCTCGAATTCGTCCGCCTGCTGTAGTCTGCCATCCTCCTCCACATCCACCCTTTTTCTCCCGCAAACCCAGCATTGACGATCCCTGGTGATTGAAATTGAGCTCGACTGGCTACTGTACGTGCAGCTCACCGCTCCCACTTTCCGTTGAGACTGATAGAGATAGCTTCGTCACTTTCTCCATATCCTTCTCGCTCGCCTCCTCAGATCCTCTGAGCCCTCTCTTCTGCCTCTTCTACCCAATTCCTCTCCAATTCCTCCCCTCAAAGCCTCAATTCCCCCTAAATCTACCTCAATGGGTCCTCGCAAGCTCCAAGTCGCCGTCTCCGGCCTCGGCCGCATGGGTGCCCGTCACGCCCTGCACTTCCTCAACCGCACCCCGCGAGCTGAGCTTGTTGCCGCCTTCACGCCCGAGGAGAGCGAAATCGCCTGGGCGCAGACGAACCTCGTGCCCTTTGGCACCAAGATCTACACCGACTACGATGAGATGCTCAAGCACCCGGGCCTCGAAGCCGTCGTCGTTGCGACTGTCACCACTGTGCACGCCGAGCAGGCCATCAAGGCTATAAACGCCGACAAGCACGTTCTATGCGAGAAGCCGTTGAGCACAAGTGTTGAAATTGTGAGGTTTTTCCCCATTTCGCCCCATTCCGTCACCATCCAGTCTTCAGTCAAAATTCGCCAACGTACCTCTCACTAACACGTAACCAGTCCCAATCCGTCCTTGACGCCGCCCGCGCAAAACCCCACCTCAAAGTCCTCTGCGGCTTCTCTCGCCGCTTCGACCCCTCCTACCGCGACGCCTTCGCCCGCGTCAACGACTCCACCATCGGCCGCCCCTCCGTCTTCCGCTCCCAGACCTGCGACAAGCTCGACCCGTCAGGTTTCTTCGTCGCCTACGCCGAGTTCAGCGGCGGCATCTTCGTCGACTGCAACATCCACGACATCGATCTAGCACTCTGGTTCTTCGGCCAAGACTCCGTCGTCAAGTCGTGCTACGCCGTCGGCATCACCGCCGTGCAGCCCGAGCTCCGCACCCACGGCGACGTCGACAACGGCGTCGGCGTCGTCGAGTTCTGGGGCGGCAAGATCGCGTACTTCTACAGCTCGCGCATGATGGCGGCGGGCCAGCACGACATGACCGAGATCATCGGCACCGAGGGCAAGATCACCGTCAACGCGAACCCCCAGACCAACCTCGTTGAGCTGTCCGAGTCGACGGGCATAAGGCGCGAGATCCCACCCAACTACTACGGCCGCTTCGAACACGCGTTTGTGGTCGAGGCGAACGAGTTCACGGCGGCGTGCTTGGAGAACACCGAGCTGCCGTTCAAGCTGAAGGGCGCCGTGCAGGCGGTTGCGATCGGGTGTGCGCTGCAGGAGAGCTTGAGGAGTGGGAAGAAGATTTGGTTTGATGAGACGGGGAGGCGGGTGGAGAAGGCGCAGATCTAGGCGATCTCATAGTTAGACGTAGACTTGAAGAGGGAAGTGAAAATTAAGAACAGGCATGGAACGGCGTTTTGATTATATAGATAGACTAGAGACATTTAGAGCGCGATTTTGGCATCTATCACATTGTTCTCTGTAACCTATTATGCGCTGTGTGGCCGCTTTGGTATGATCAAATGTCGATCATAGACACCGGAAATCCGTTCAATTCAGAACGTCGAACAAAACAGTGCGCCAAAACTGACTTCAAATCGCACGGACTGGCTCCCGTTTATACATCTTACACCCTCCAAAATTCCCCTAACTCCACGGCCTGATTCACACGCTCCAGCTGTTCCCATTGCAAACCATTCTAATTCACACCCTCGAGCAAAAGTATGCCAAAATCCACTTCAAATCGCACGGACTGGCTCCCGTTCATACATCTCGCGCACCCTCATAAAGCAGCCTTATTCCATGGTGTAATTCAAAGCGTCGAGCAACAGCAAAGCTGATTTTGATATCAAAATCGCACGGGACTAGCGCCCGTTAGTACTTCGCCCCTCACTGCAACTTCCCCTTTTCAACGTCTGATTCACACGCTCCGGCCTTGCCCCATCGTAGAAACCGTCTAATTCACAGTCTGTAGTACTGGCATGCCAGAACCGACTCTCAAAACGCACAGAACGGCTCCCGGTCATAACATCTCAAGTTACTATAAATCCCTCATTCTTCAATATCCAATATCCAACCCACACCCCTAACCCTCTCACATTCCAAAAGCGCCCAAGCCACGCTACCCAAAATCCACACGCATATTAGCAAAACCGTAATCCCCTCCGCCTCCGCCAATTCGATAACCCCCTAGATCGAACCATCCACTAAACCCCCTACCACCCGTGCCCTATCTCACAAAACCAGCGTCACATCAATCCAGCCCCGTTACCCCCCGCATTCCCGAGCTATCCACTCTTCTTAGGCCTCGCCTGCCTTCTCAGCGCCCTTATAGCAGCGATCTGCTCCTCAGTAATCCCATATTCCTTCAACAACTCCTCCTCCCGACTCATCGAAGTCTCTTCTTTCGTCTGCGGCGTCCCCTCCTTCGTCTGCGGCGTCGAAACCTCATCTGCAAACGGGTCTTTCCACGCCTCCGTCTGCGCAGAACTAACCGCACTACCACTACCCCCGCTGGCCTGCCCAAACTCCCCCTCCTCGCCCTGCACCTGTACCGGCTCGCTCGTCTTCCTCTTAAAGACAGATTCCTGCTTCTCAGGCACCGAGGTCACAAACGCGGAAGTCGTGCCGGCGTATTGCGCAAACGGGCCCGAGGAGGGCGGTGTGCCGAAAGGCTTTGGGTTTTCCGCACCGGGCATGGACGGGGTCCCGAAGAGGGAGGGCCTGGACTGGGGTTCATGTGGCGTAGATTTGGGGAGGCTTGATGCGGCTGGGCGAGGGGGGGTCGGCGCGCGGAGGAATGCTTCGAAGTCAAACAATTCTGTGGACGGAGCGGAGGTGGAGGATGGCGTTTCGGCGGGTGCGTTTACGCGGGGAGGATCGGAGGGCGCGGGAGGTCCCTCCTTCGAATCTGTAGTTTTGGTGTGGGACAAATCGGCATTGGCTGTAGTGGTGGGGTCGGTAGGTCGCTGAGCGGAGTCAGGGAACCTGAAACCGGTTGTGATGGTATTTGGGGCAGCCGTCCTAGCGAAGTTGGCACCGAAACCTCCGCTGCTAGTGTTGCTGGTCGTTGCGGCTCCATTAGAGTTCGCGAACAAACTTTCTGTAGAGGTTGAAGCAGGCTTAGAGACAAGAGTTCCCCAGCAAGAAAATTGTTGTGCTGGCTGTTTTGGAATAACTCCAAATGATGAGCCAAAAAGCCCCCCTGTTTGCTGGTTGTTGTTAAGCTGGCCGAAAGGCGATGGCTGGGGATTACCACAAGCTATTGGTTGTGCGTTGCCGAATAGCGATGGTCGCGCGTTATGAGCGTTGCCGAAGAGTGGCGGTTGCGTATTGTTGGGGTTGCCAAAGGGCGATGCCGTGCGGTTCCCATTAGTTGATGGTTCTGGATTGCCAAAAAGCCCTCTTGGCTGTTGGGTGCTATCAGCGTTGGTGAAGAGCGATGGCTGCGCATTGTTAAAGTTGCTGAAGGGCGACGACTGCGCATTGTTGAAGCCGCTGAAGAGCTGCGGCTGCGTGTTGTCGACAGCTGATGATGTTGTATTGCCGAATAGCGACGGCTGAGCGTTGCTGAAGTTGTTGAAGAGCGACGGCTGTCTGTTGCTGGGGTTGCCGAATAGACCACCTGTAGATTGGTGGGTTTCGAAAAGCCCACCTGGCCTTTCGGTGTTGGAGAATCCATTTTGAGCCGCAGATTGGCTAGTGGTCGAGGGTTGACCAAATAGTCCTCCAGATGGTCTAGCTCCGAATTGTGATTGATCATTGTACTCCCACTCCGGGCGTCGCGTTACCCCGATTTTCTCCTTTTCGTCTATCTTCGTACGAAAGAGACCACCAGCCTGGGTGTTGGTTTGGCCGAGGCCGAAAAGGTCGCCCTGAAGCCCGCCGAACCGAGAAGTCGGTTCGGACGCAATGGGGACATTGTTTCCAAATCGTAGACTATCAGGGGCCTTAGGGACCTTAATGACAAACATGAGCGAGGGGATGTCGAAAGTGCCGAATATAGTAGGCATTGTGACCTTGTGAGATCTCTGGATAGACACTACAGTTCCACTTCGTGGTTTGGTATAGGCTCGGATGGTTCTCCATTCTCCAGGGTTTAAGGTTGCGATCGTGTCAATCACAGAGTACTCTTCGCCCAGTGCCTTCACATGGGCATCAATTTGTTCCCGTCCCAGAGGCAATTTGAGTATACTGGCGGACCATTCGACGATATCGTGGATTTGCTCAGCACGAGGAGTGAGCATATAGGCCTCTAGAGATTCTTCAGGTTCTGCTTTTTCGACAGAGGCAACAACTTCCTCTTTGATCGACCGAGGTTCATTGGAATCTCGAGTTGCATTTCTCACGGGTGTGGGGGTCTTCTGATCCTGGTGGGGTACTTCTTCTTTCACAGTTGTTCCAGTGCTCGGCTCCGGTACTGGAGTGTTATCGCGGGTAGTGCCTGGCGTGTTGACCCTAGCTTCCGAGTGTGAGAGGACCTCGAATTCGGAGTGGGTATCGACCGAGACCTCACGATGGAGTCTATTTGATCAAGTTAGCCTGTGATCTTTTTCGATGTAGATTGTTTGCTTACCTAGGCGTCAAACCAGTTTCTTTCGTTGTTTGTTCGAGGCCTTTCTCGATAGTTTCTGTGACCTCTGCTTTGCTATCGGATTTCTCGGGTACCTTCTCAGGATCCTTCTGGAGGCCTTGATCAGTGTTCTTGGTGAACACAGGTGGCCAATTTGAGAACATTGCTGGTTGAGGGTACTTTCCTTTGCGGCTGTGGCAAGCGTTAGTAGTTAGATCGTGACTATACGTGTTTCACAGGCATTCAAGGTGGACATACCTGAGTTCTTTTCGTTCCAACTCGCATTCCTCAAAGCTTTTCTCGAACGTCAACCCGAGTTCTGGCGGGTTGAGCTGGACAAATGGTCGATTATCCATGAATGGGTAGTCGGGTTCTCCATATCGTCCTCGAAATCCTCGTGGGTGCTGAAGTTCTTTGATATCGACGGCGGTGTAGGTTTGCGAGGGGTTCAAGCTCACCAGAGATGGGGCTTGGCTCTGATTCCCAAATACCCCACCACTGAACGGCTGAGACTGGAGTAGTGGCGGTCCGGTTCCGAGCACGGACGTGCGATCATTTTGGCGTCTGAGGCTCTGTGCAGTTACAACGAGCCTGTACAATTCCTTTCTCAAATCGCTCTCAAGGGTGTTATTTCTGCAGGGCGATATTAGTAAGTCGTTACCAGAATGCTACAGAATTAAGACCCATGTCTGTACACTCTTCCTTGAAGTCTCTTTCGAACCCTTTGATATATGAGCCTACCCAGACGACGACAAGATAGGTCAATGAAAAGCGTCTGGATCCGCTCTGGTTTGCGCTGCTTAGGATTGTAGGTTTTTTCTGAATTCCTCAAAATGCGCCGGGGTACCTCAGACAGTGGCAGGCAAGAGTGTACAGACTGTTTCCCAAGGTATTGTATGAGCCAAGAAACTTGAACACTTACCCATTCGAAAATTTACCGCTCAATTGTCGCCGAAGTTCTTCGATACGTGCAGTACTGACGAGAAGAGAGAGGCCTCTCAAGCAATCCGAGGTGTGAACGATTGCATTTGCCATCGCTATCTCAGGAAAATGGCAGGTAGGTGGGCCAGTGGAAGGGCCTGGAAATCTCTGGGAATAGATGTGGTTATCTGAATCGGTGATGAGTGGCCCGACGTTGAAAAGCGCGACGTTCCACATCTGTAGCACCTCTCGCGCGTCTTGAAGATCTTTCGAACCCAAGAGAGGTAAGATTGGATCTTTGGGACGGGATCCAACAGTAAGGAGACCCTTCAAGACATTGGACACGCCGACAAGGGCAAAAAGCTTGGAGGCGACGGAATTGAGGGTGGCGTTGTGATCAGCAGTGACATTGTTGATTGTCATCAGGCCGAACGCGATGCGCTGTCCGCGGATTGCGAGTTCATCCATCTCCTCCCTCAGGTTTACGGCACTTGTGCTAGCCATGTTTGCTGGCGGAGGGGGGGGAAGACGCGAGAATTGACTTGAAATGAGAAGGTCAAGCTGGAGTGCCAGAGCCAAGGAGGAAAAGGGAGGCGCGTCAATAATGATGAAGGATTGTTGACGGTGAGCAGGCGGTAGACGTCGGAGGAGTGAAGACGTGCGTGATAGCCTCACCAATGAGAGCAAGCTTGATGAAGGAAGAAGGGAGGGGATGGGAAGAACGAAGCCAAATGTTGAGAGCGTTATTATTCTATACGAAGACCGCAGGCAGCGGGAGGCAGCATCAGGCACCGGCAAGGCTGAAGCTGAAGTGGAGTTGCAGCTGCCGCCTGGAGATGAGACACGCTAATACGAGGTCCCGTGACGAGAGCTAGCCCACGCTTGGATGGCGTGTCTTTGCGGGCGACGACGGCAAGCCTGCTGGAACTCAACACCAGGACCGCATCGTGAGATTCGGGCTCCCTGCTCTTGCTCACGCCTTCGCTATCTCTAACCTCCTGCATTCAGCCCTTGTGTCGCATCACCATCACCGATCTCAGCCTGCCAAGCCACCAAGCTCTCGTCCCTCGGCTGGCACACCTCTGGAGCCTCACACAGCGTCATTGACCCAAAGACAAAATGCAACGAAAATAGCGAGCAATTCTGGAACTGGCCACTCTTCTACTACGGACGGGCACACCGGCTTTCCGTCATGCGCAGGCCGCAGTCACACGGCACGCCTGTACGAGGGGGCGCGATTGGGCCTGAAACGTTTGCATCCTGAGCACTGGGCGGAAAAGCCTGGGCATCACGCACCCGCCTGGACTGCTGAGGAAGTATCCTCCCCAAGGAGCCCCAAGGGCCAGCGGACGTATCACAAAGACGCCCAGCGAGCACGGCGACCCTTGGCGATCCCGATGGAGCTGGCGCCGCGACCGTGACCTGACGGCCGAGCAAACACAGCGCACAACACCAAGCGGCCAAGTGCACGCAGTTTGTCGGCGCATGCGCGGCGTGCCGGGAAATCCGTCTTGTCCGCTCTGCATCAGCCTTGTCGTGCTGGTCGCAAAATGACAATCGCGCAAGGCCTCCTCCGCGCAGGCCTCGCCATTGGCCACCGCCCTCAACCACACCCACTACCAAGCCCTCGGCAGCCTTGGCAGCGGGCGAAGTGTCGAAAGAGCCTGGAGTGCCAAGCTGCCTTCCAAGAGAGACTTCGTGGTTGACGGCATGTAACCTCTGTTCCAAGCCTCTCCTGAGGGGAAACCATCTATATCATGGTCTCCCCATCTCTCCCGCCGCGACCCTAACCATAGACCATTACCGCACGCCACGACTGCACCTTCTCCGCTATGGCTGCTCCGCCGCGCTCTCGGCCTGCCATGGCCATGGCTCCCGACGACGGACATTGCGTAGCACCCTTCATCGCACCCCATCAGCCCAATTACGCCTATGGAACGCCTGTATCAGAATACTCGCGCTCGCCGCGAATACATTCGTCTGTTCCGAGTCGGGACTCGGTCATATCGCACCCGTTCTCGCCCAAGGTCTCTTCTCCGCCAAGCCCTGTCTCCGTCGCTTCCAGACACTCGCAAACAGAGGGGACATCGCATCCCAGCATCACCTTTCCCCCGCGGGCCCAATTGGACCCAGAAAAACAGAATGGCTTCCCACAGAGCCCCCAACCACGGACATCACGAACCCACGCATCGTTGTCCGATCCGGAACGAAGACGCACCTCCGGTCAGGGACACCCCGACGAGGCTCCAGAGATGGATGTCTTACGGGTTAACGTACGTACATTCCGTGCAAGGTCATGACACTGCCTCTGAGAAGATCTGTGCACATTATCCTACCATTGCGAGAAGACGCTGCATGCCATTCTGAGAACTGTAATGTTCATCTTTTTGAACACTCAGTACAATGGCTGGGACACCTCAGACAGCCGCAGAAGTGTACAACAGAGCTGTTAATCGTCGTGATAAGCTAGCTAACCAGGCTCTATAGCTCTATCTCGCCGCACCCTGCGCCGTCGTCTCAACCATTCTTATGCTATGGACTCTACTCGCAATCGTCATTACCTGCATACTCCAACCCCTTCGCTTCTGCAGCTTTCGGCCGAGCTTCAACGAACAGCTTGCTATATTCCTCGCCCCTCCGCTAAATCAGCAACTACGCCTCATACAATCCAGAGCTCGACCGAATCGTTACAGCGCGTCCATGCTCGTCATCGTACAGCTGTTTGCGCCCTTCGTTGCCGTAGGCGTCGCTGTGGCAAGCTGGATAGCGGCATTCTTCTGGTTCTTCTCCGCCATCCTCGGCGATCCCGCCGGCCAGGACGGACACAATGACGGGCGCGCAACGGTGATGGCCGTGCGAAACTGGTGGGAGCGCTGGCTGGTTCGGGCCTGTGCTCTTGGCTCTAGGGAGGGCTATCTTATATAGCCTTGCTCTAATATCGTTCCGAGGGGCCCTCTGGCTGGTGGGCGCGATATTTGCATTTTCAGCGGCATGGGCACGGATAAGGCGTTTTTATTCCTGGGCGGGAAAAGGGGTTTGGAGGATACGCTGTGTGTACAACCATTGGCGTCTATGGGGGCGGTAACGATTCCCACATGAGTTCTGATTGACGGCTTCATGGCGCGGTTGTTACTGGCACAGTAACTGAATACAGTATTGAGACGGTCTGCGTACAGTTGGGTGCCATTGTGTGAGGTCATTTGAAAGCTTTTCAAAAAGACTCGGAGGAAGGCTCAAAAGTTGCCGTTAGCGTCGTTATTCCATTCTCGAAAGGGGTGAACTGGAATGGTTGACGACCTCGAAACTCTCACTATGACGAGGAACAACGTCAAGACGGGGACAGGGGCAAAGGCGCTCAAGTAAACAGAAGAATCTCAATTCTTTCCTGCGTTCTTCAGATGTATATCTAATGCCAACCACACTCCGAATAGGAACGCGCAGACCGTCCCTAACGCCCCAACCCAGCTCTTTAAGTCGCAAACCCCAACGCCCCCGCAAAAAACGCATCCCGTATAATACACAACGCGCCTGAGCTTCCAAGCTCAGTCCTCCCACCTCCCGCCACCCACACCGGCTTTCTTCTCCGCCCCCGCGAACCCCTGCTCTTCCTCTTCCCACTTCCTCCGCTCCACCCTCCTGCGCGCACTCCAGGCTCTCGCGAACCGCCACGCCTCTGTATCTGCTAGATTCCATGCCTCTACCACGCCGACCGCTTCTTGCATCCTGCGATCCTTGCTCTTGATCGCCTCTCTCGCCTTCCGCAGCCTGTTCTTCTCCATCCGCAGCTCATTCTCCTGCGGCTTCTTCACGCCCTCGATTTCTTCTGGTGGGGGAGGCCGCCTTTCCGGACCTGGCACAGGGGGCTCCGACTGGCCGTTCCACGATGACTGAGGGAGGTTGAAGCCGAATATCCAGTCCAAATCGACCTGCGACTCGCGCTCGGCGGTGAGCCAGAGAGAGTGCGATGCTGTCCGAGGGGATGCGACTGCTTCCTTGAAGCGCACGACGCGTCTTTGGCCCGATGATGTAGACCCGAGGATTTCTTGGGTGGCGGCGAATATCCACATGTCTCGCTCCGCCTTGCGACGGATGAAGGTTTTATCGATCTTGTCGCGCGTGTAGTGGAGGCTGGTGAGGGTATATGGGTGCGGAACGGAGCCGATGGTGTACAGGGTAGTGTCGTTGCGGAAGTGGGGGAGGAGCTTCATGCGCATTCGGCTCGAGGAGACACACGCTTTGCATTTCGGTCTGTTCGGGGGACAGGATGCCACGATAGGGGAGTCAGGACATTGAGTGAGGTTCCGAGCGATGTCGACAGCTTCTTCGGTAAGAGCAGTGGTGTGTTCGGGAAGGGGTTTGAGAATTGCGACACCGGATGGAAACGACTCTTGCCACGTTAAGTGGAGGTGGGAATTTATGAGCGTTGCGAGGCTCTTTAGCCCTTCGGGGTTCGTGGTGTTGGTTATCTTTTCAGCGACGGACTTGTATTTTGAAACAATCGTATTCGTGTCGTAGAAGGCTATGCCGTCCGCTTTTCTGTCCTCGTCCAGTGTTTCCTTGTCGAGAAGGTTGATCATTACACCACCGTCCTTTGCTAATCCTTCGATCTTATCCTTGTTCGCGGTTACATTTGTCCAAATAGAATCCTCCAGGACTTTCTTGATCGCACCGTTGATCGCGGCCTTTTCTCCAAAGAAAATGCCGTTCTGAAGAGTGTCCACGCGACTCAGAATGGGATACTCCCCTCGACGGAGGTAGGCCAGCATAGGATTATCATGAGAGGCCATCGGCAAGGCAAGCCAATTTGCGAGTACTCCTGTTCCCATGTGGCCCCATGCCAGCCATCTTACGACTTCCATTTCCAATTTAGAATCCAGTCGAAGGCGCTGCAAAGACTCGTACAGTGGGTTCTTCTGAGCCTCGGCGCGCGACAAAACCTGTGGTTTAAAACCCTGTGCCCACCAAGCCCGCCTCCATGCCAGAAGCAGCGCGTGTTCTGCCTTGGAGACTTCCTCGTCCTGCTTCTTCCCCGACTCATAGTATGTGTATATCGGCGGTCGATTGGTCAAGGGCGGCAGGACCGCGCGGTTTTCGTCCAGAGTAATGGATGATGAGAAAGGGTTCTTCCATGTCCAATCAGAGAACCATGTGGCATCGCCACTAGTGCTGTTTGGTTGAATGGGCGACTTGTGAGCCCCTTGGCCAAAGGGGTTGTGGACGGAAGGGACTTTCGGAAGCTTTGGGTTCTTGATGGTTTCTTTGAGCTCCTCGACAGTAGGTATATCCGCAGCGGATGGCGGTCCGAATAGGACTAGGGAGAAAATTATAAACGTTATAACGCCAAAGAGTAATTGGAATCGTCGGGGCGGCATTCGTAGGACGAAAGGGTGCCCACAGCAGGTGCGCTGAACAGGCATGATGGCGGACTGGAATCAATGGAGAAAGAGGGCGCAGATGGCTTAATTCTGCATCAGAAGTCACTCAATGAAGAGGATACGGCCACGTCTTGTGCACGTCCAGTCCGAAAGCCCCCTGGCGGGAGTGACGCGGCCTGAGATAATGGAAGAAGAAGCGGACGTAGCAGTGGAGAAAGGGAGCGGCTGCGTGAGCGAGACGCGAAGAAAAGATGTAAAGAAGAGAAGAGGGTGTCCAAGAGGCCTCGTGTCAAGATGCGGATTGACGATCGCGGTGAACTTTTTGGTGTCCCAATGTAAGGTTCCCCCCTGGTTTTGCCCGGCATCGGCGAATATTTGTTCCTTTCCCCAGATATTTTTTTAGACGCCGATCTCGCATGACTCCATCCATCCCACCTCGTTGCGCCATTTCCCTTCGTGTGTGACTCGAAGAGAATTTTAAAACCGAAGACCGCTGACATGGGGTTCAATTGACCTCCTAAAAGCTTCAAACATCACCCTTGGGCTGGATCTCGTCATTCCTGTCTGTGGATTAGAGAACTACCGGTTTCACCTCTCATTGATACCCAACTGACTCACACAATGGCCACGAAGTCCGAGCCAGTACTGCCGGATCCCACCGCGGACCTATACTGGTCGGATTTCAAAGGATCCATCTTCGATATCTTTGGACGAAATGCCCAAGGACAGTACGCAGAGCGGACATGTGTGGTTGAAACGGCGTCAAGTTCCTCGCCACAGCGTGAATTCACATACAAGCAGATTTATAGAGCGTCTGCGATACTAGCTACTCACTTTGTCGAACGTGGCATACAACGAGGAGATGTGGTCATGATCTTTGCTCACCGAGGTGTTGACCTGGTTGTTGCAATCATGGCTGCTTTGGCTGCGGGAGCCACGTTCTCCGTTCTAGATCCTCTGTAAGGTCTTTAACCCTCTCAATGGCCTCTCTCAGTCGCTGACAATCTTGCCTCTTCATAGATACCCTCCCGATCGCCAGTGCATATACCTAGAAGTCTCCCAACCGCGAGCCCTGGTGGTTATCGACAAAGCCACCCAAGAAGCAGGGCCCCTGTCTGAGCAAGTTCGCTCATATATATCAGAACACCTAGATCTGCGCACGGAAGTTCCTGGCCTACGGCTCGCTGATGATGGAGCACTGGTAGGGGGTCAGGTCAATGGGCAAGACTGTCTAGATGAACAGCAGAAACTGGACACGTTCACACCCGTTGTTGTCGGCCCAGACTCGACGCCGACACTGTCTTTTACTTCTGGCTCTGAAGGGCGTCCGAAGGGCGTCAGAGGACGGCACTTCTCGCTGACACATTACTTTCCGTGGATGGCTGAGAGGTTCGGGCTATCAGACAATGACAGGTTTACAATGCTCTCGGGTATAGCTCATGATCCAATCCAGCGGGACATATTCACGCCCCTTTTTCTCGGAGCACAATTGCTTGTTCCAAGCAAAGAAGACATCCAGCATGAGAAGCTGGCTGAATGGATGCGGAAGTACAAGCCGACTGTCACCCACCTGACTCCTGCCATGGGTCAGATTCTCGTCGGAGGCGCAGCTGCGATCTTCGAAAGTCTGCATCACTCGTTCTTTGTGGGGGATCTTCTCATCAAGCGGGACTGTAGAAGGTTGCAGGAACTAGCTCCAAATGTTCGGATTGTGAACATGTACGGAACTACTGAAACCCAGCGAGCGGTAAGTTACTACGAGCTTCCTAGCCGTAATGATTCACCCGATTTCTTGGACACTATGCCCGAAGTCATTCCCGCGGGACGAGGTATGAACAACGTCCAACTCCTCGTAGTCGATCGGGAAGATCGAACCAAAATATGCAAGGTGGGACAAAGTGGCGAAATATACGTTCGTGCAGGAGGTCTAGCAGAAGAATATCTAGGGCTTCCAGATCTCACATCTGAGAAGTTTGTCAAGAACTGGTTTGTCGATAACGAGAAATGGGTTAAGGAGGATAACGCCAAAGCAGCCGATAGCCCTACCCCCTGGCGGGAGTACTGGAAGGGCCCACGAGACAGGTTGTACCGGTCTGGTGACCTGGGATACTACGACGAACATGGAAATGTGCACTGCTCAGGACGGGTTGATTCCCAGGTCAAAATTCGCGGTTTCCGGATCGAATTGGGAGAAATAGATTCTCACCTAGCTGCTCACCCGTTGGTCCGTGAAAACGTTACGCTACTCAAGCGTGACGCTTACGAAGAACCAACGCTCGTCAGTGAGTGTTGTCTTCTTACCCTACCTTTTAGGCCGAGTGCTAATTCGCCGAGGCTACATCGTTCCTGAGATGAAGCGATGGTATCAATGGCTGGAGGACCATGGAAGGATTGACGACTCGACCGATACCAGCATGGTAGGCATGTTGAAGCGCTTCAAATTTCTGCGAGACGACGTAAGAGAGCACCTGAAGAAGAAGCTACCGGCCTATGCTGTTCCGTCCGTCTTAGTCCCGCTCAGCCGTTTCCCTCTGAACCCTAATGGGAAGATTGACCGTCCCGCGTTACCTTTCCCCGAGCCAGGACAATTGGCCGCTGCCGGTGCTCGAAGGCCTTCACAATTAGGCAAAGCGCTCACGCCAACAGAAAAGGCCGTCGCCGAAATCTGGGCCAACTTGATCCGGGGAGTGAATCCGGAAAGCATTGGCGGAAGTGACTCTTTCTTCGACCTTGGCGGCCATAGTATTATTGCCCAACAAATGCTTATGGCTGTAAGGAAGAAGTGGAGGGATATCGATGTCCCGATGTCCACCATTTTTCAATACCCAACGCTTCGTGGCTTCTCAGCGAATGTAGACCAAGCCTTGGATCCTGTCGGTCTTCGACTTGACGTCGGTGAGGCGGTTGATGACGACCCAGAGGACGAAGATTACTCGGCCGACGCGAGAGATCTCAGCAAGCAATTGATCGAGAAATTCGAAGCCCGCAACCTAGATCCCACGCAAGAGCATACTGTATTCCTGACTGGAGCTACAGGCTTCTTAGGGGCTTTCATCCTTCAAGATCTGCTGTCTAGGAAGTCTCCAACCATCAAAGTCGTCGCGCTTGTGCGAGCAAAAGACGGAGAGGCAGCGCTCAGCAGAGTTACGGATATCTGCCAAGCTTACGGTATATGGGACGTCTGGAGTAACAACTGGAAGTCTCGATTGGAGTGCCTGCCTGGTGATCTGGAGAAACCTAACTTCGGGCTGGCCCCCGACGTCTGGAATCGACTCGCAGATGCCGTGGATGTGGTCATCCACAATGGAGCGCTAGTTCATTGGGTTCTCCCCTACTCGCGGTTGCGCTCCCCGAACGTTCTCAGCACCATGACCATTCTCTCCTTGTGTGCGACAGGAAAGGCTAAACAGCTTGGTTTCGTCAGCTCGACGTCTGTCCTTGACAATGAGCACTATATCAAGGTGTCGGAGCAAAGCATTGCCGAAGGCGGTGCCGGAGTCAGCGAAGCTGATGATTTAGAGGGATCGAGGAAGGGTCTCGGATCCGGTTACGGCCAGAGCAAGTGGGCTGCCGAATATCTCGTCCGTGCTGCTGGAAAGAGAGGCTTGAAGGGGTGCATTATCAGGCCAGGTTATGTGACTGGCGATCCGGAGAAAGGAAGTAAGTTGCCTCACTCATCTAGACTTCATCCTTAAGAACATACAAGGCTGATATTCACCAGCTACCAATACGGACGATTTCCTGGTCCGCATGCTGAAAGGCAGCATCCAAATCGGCGTATCCATTGATATGAATAATACCGTCAACATGGTTCCTGTCACGCACGTCGCTCGCGTGGTCGTGGCGACCTCCTTCTACCCGCCTATAGAGCCCCTTGGCGTTGCCCAAGTCACTTCACATCCCCGTCTCACGTTCAATCAGTTTACCGTAGCACTAGCTGCCTACGGGGTGAAGAAAGTACCATACAAGGAATGGAAGCAGAAGTTAGACGACTACATTCGAGACGGCAAGGAGGAGCATGCTCTGTTACCTCTCTACCATTTCGTCACCGGCGATCTACCAAGCGATACCCGCGCCCCGGAGCTTGACGACGCCAACGCAGCGAAGGCGCTTACTCTAGATGCCAAGTGGACCGGTCAAGATGTTTCAAAGGGAGCAGCGGTGGAGCTGCAGACGGTAAAGCTTTATCTTGCGTTCTTGGTTGAGGTGGGCTTCTTGCCGCAGTCGACGCAGGGCAATCTGCCGTTGGTGAGATTGGGCGAGACGCAGAAGAGGTTGCTTGCCAAGTTGGGAGGAAGGAGTGGGAAGTAGCGGGCTCGGCGGTAGACAGTGTCCACTAGCGGAGCTTTAAGAGGAGCTTTGCTTGTCTGTGCTATAGAAACGGTGGCCTAAAAGAAGGTGGAATTGTAAAGACTCACGCGGTAGACCAAAAGTATCCTTGCCATCTGCAAATGAAGAAAGCAACCAGCTGAGACGTCTGCTGCACTACATTTTCTTATAGTTCAGATCGCGAACCCAATACCGACCGCACATCTAAAAGCCGCCCTAATTATAAAGCCAAATTTGGCGTGTCGTTGGGCCCACCAGTTCCATTCCAGTACATGCTTACTCGGCAGCTTCTAGTACTTTTTCGCCTTACGGATTAGCTATCTTTCTCGCTGATGGCAATACAATCCTTGCTGCCTACACACGCGGGGCATGAAAAAGGTGGGCCTCTAATTCTAGGACAAGCTGTCTCATGTGTACACATGTCTGCCACTGCTTGGGTTGCTTCCATGTGTTTTCAGGGATCTACAGAAGATAGATGCTCTTTCCCTTGGGCTATGGGGAACCTTGTTGAAGCAGTCCATGCAATGGCAGACAGGTATACCTATGAGACAGTGTGGTTGGAATAATGAGTGTGAACAGAAAGTGGCAGTCCACAAATCCATGAGGTATACATACTTTTTCTGTGCTTGTGTACGCTTGTCTAGCGCGGCTTGAGGTCCTCCAGTATGCTACTGTTATTCATGAAATACCAACCTTGGCAAGCATGACAACTCTCCGGGCCACCTCAGACGGTGTTGAAATGCTTGAGTGTGCCACTTCTTTCGTGCCTAGCGTGTCACATCAACATCCCTGGCATCCTGCAATTGGCATCGCAAGAATGGTTACAGGGAAGAGGGTCCAGTGCTGCGCCGCATGAAGCTCGGAAATGCATGCCACCTCACAAGCGCCGGTGCCTTCCCCGAACGTACGACTCTACGAAAGCGCCTACTACTACAAGCACAGCTATTGTCGACCATCTCATAGCCTATCAAATTGCCGGCGTCGATAGTGCTGAGAATTCCAAGAAATGCTGTGCACCTCCAGTCACGTTAAAGCGTCTGCGCCCTAGATCGCGTTCCAGTCATGAAACTTCCCAACTTTTTCGCACTTGCGAGTCTTTCGATTTATACATTGTCAGCACACGCACAGCTTGTTCTTCTGGCCGCGTTCTTGTTTTATCGAGGCCTCATCTAGGCACCACACTTGGGGCGCATTATCAGCCTTGTTTATTCTTCACGGCTGAATTCAAGGCCACAGTTTTCTGTTTACACGACATGTCAGGCTACCAATTCAAGAAACATTACAGAAGCCCTCAGGACCATCCCATGCCGGTGGAACCCCCTCCGAAAGAGTACCAGCGGCTTGCAATAAGAGATTTCGAGGAGCGGGACCAGCCCTTTCTCATCGAAAAAACCGAGTCAAATACCTCCACCAGAAGTCGAGTTATATCAGAAAACCCAAGCAAGGCAGCCGACCTAGAAACCGAAGATATTGATTCGAAGGTCACTGTCGAAGGCCATTTCTCACCAGAGAGTCCAGCTGGATCAACTGAAGCTGCGGATTCAGAAGCCCTTCCCCTAGATGATCAAGTAGCTCTGATTTTGTCTTCTGTACGGACTTGGATAGAGACATGCAAAGCAGATCATCCCGCATGTGGCTCGTCTCGAAAAGCCCCTACTACTTTACCTACTAGGGTTATTGATGTCGGCCAAGCAAATGAAATAGACTCAATCCGTCTTATCGAGACCGACGGAAAGCAGGGAGAATACGCCGCTCTTTCGTACTGCTGGGGGACCTCAGGATCCAATTACGGCACTACCATCAACAGCCTGGAAGAGCATAAGGAACGCATACCATGGAACCGTCTGGCGCGGACGATCCAAGAAGCGATTCTCGTCACCAGAGAGCTCGGCCTTCAATACCTATATGTCGATGCATTATGCATCATTCAGAAGACGCTGTTGGAAGACGACAGTGGCGTTAGGACGCATTCAGGGGACTGGGCCGTCGAAGCTGGGAAAATGGCTTCAGTCTACCAGAACGCGTTCATAACGATTGCGGCTGCCTCAGCTGCCGACTGCCGGGACGGATTTTTATTACGAAATGATTGGTTTACACCAGACAGTAAGTTGGATGAAGACACTTGCACGTGGAAAGTTTTCGAGTCTCCACTCCACGATCGGGCTTGGGCCTTTCAAGAGGACCTTCTTTCTCGTAAAACGGTGACTTTTTGCGCACCAGTACTCCAGTGGTGCTGCAAGAGTACTGAGGCTCAGAAGGTAGTCCATGAAGAATATGACCTGGTTGGCGGTGGCTGGGTACTAAGGTCCAATGGACCTTTATCTCAGATCCGTTGGTGGCTATGGATTGTATATTACACAAAAAGGAAACTGACCTACGAGTCCGATCGGTTGGCGGCAGTCTCCGGGGTGGTAGAGTACTTCGCCCAGCAAACCAACGATCTACCAGTTCTAGGGCTTTGGAAAAGTGATTTGATCGTCGGATTACTTTGGAATACCACAATACCTGGAACACGGAACCGCAGCAAAGAGTTCTCTATGCCAACATGGTCATGGCTGTCAGTCAACGAAATAATTCACCATCGACGCTGCAAAGATGCAAAAGACGTCAAGTATGTACTAGATGTCGAGGTTGAAAAGTTCCAATGCGACTGGGATGGACCTGAAATGACTGGACGACTTCTACGCACGGATCTCGTAATCCGAGGCTGTCTAGAAATAGCTCAAGTGCATGAGATCCCATGGGACCACGATGACTGGCTGCGCACAACATTTCATGAACGTTACGTGGTGATGCCCCGGCTTCTATTGCTTGCGAAAGGAGGGCAGCATGTTGAGGGTGAAAGCTCGAACACTACAAAGCACCGCAATGCAGGCTACTGCATGATTGATCTCAAAAGCGACTACGAATCGTTAATTCAAGAGGGCGCGGTGGTTTTCTGCCTCCAGATTGCTATCCGACCGCAGACTCAGCATTCTTGGGCTTCTAGCCCTGCTGTTTATATTACGACTGATCCGATTAGGGAAGTCCTGCTTCTCAAAAAATCTGAAAAGAGCACGAATACCTACGAAAGGATTGGAGCAGGCCGAATTTATGTGAAGGATTTCTTGGACTTTTTTAAAGGACCTAGAGAAAGCATAAGGCTCGTGTAAGGAACTTGTCTGTAGTACCGATTGTACCGAAAGTCTGAGCTATGTTTAACGCACCTTGGAGGTGTACACGCATAATATCCAGTTATAGTGATATTTCTCGTAGAGTGATACATTTCGGCGGACCGTGCGTTTTTGTATGGCAGCTGGTCCGAGAATTAGAGTGCCACCTTTTCCATGCCCCGCGTGCCTGGGACCACCAGTTTGGTGTTTTGGGGGCTACTGGGTTACAAATCGCTCACACGTGACTTTTCATACAATGCTACTTTCTGTACAGTGATACGATCCCTCGGGTTTACTGGACGGTAATGCGGGGCGGCACGGCTAGGCAGGTTTCAGCTAGCGCCGGATAAATCCCACGAGATCGGACGCTTGGACTCTTGACAGCTGTCACTTCACTCCCCCACTTGATATCAGTGAAACTCCAAAGCACTGAAATCGCAAGCGCAGCTTTCCCCTGTATCCAAGATGTCGTTCTTCAAAGAAGTCGTCGAAGGCTTCACGCACCAGGGCCAAGGCCAGTCTCAAGGCCAGGGCCAGGGCTACCCACCTCAGCAGGGCGGCTACGGCCAGCAGTCCAACAACGGACCTCCTTCTGTTCAGCCACCCTGGATTGCTGAGTGGGATGGACAGGATAATCGGTGAGTTTCCGTAGCATGATCTCGGGAGATTCCCGTGAAGCAGGATGCCCAGGATGCCAAGCATGATGCCAAGTAAAGCCAAGCTGACAAGCTCCAGCTGGATCTACGTCAACCGCGAAACCAATCAGCGCACCTTCGACCACCCGCAGCAGGGGTACGGCGGCGGCCAGCAGTATGGCGGCGGCCAGCAGTATGGCGGCGGCCAGCAGTATGGCGGTGGCCAGCAGTATGGCGGTGGCCAGCAGTATGGTGGAGGCTATGATCAAGGTCAACGCGGCCAATACGAGCAGCAGCCGCAGAAACCTGACCATTCCGGCCGCAATATGGCACTTGCAGGTGTTGCTGGCCTTGCGGGTGGAGCATTGCTGATGCACGAGGGGGAGAACGTCAGTGAGTATTATCCCGACCTACTCGCTGGATCGAGTTGACGGGATGCAGAACAAGACTGGGACCGCGACGAACAGCGCCTGGACTACGATGTCGATAACGCAGGCAACTACGTGGAGAACAAGTTCGACAACGGCGTCCAGGATGTCGAGTACGCCCCTGAGGAGCTCGCGGGCTGGGCTGGACGTAAGACGCAGGAGGTTGAGGATATTCCTCAGGATATCGAACAGAAGTGGGACAACGGCGTCCAGGATGTCGAGGACGTTCCGGACGATATTGCTGGGTGGGTTGGACGTGAGGATGGGAGGGTTGAGAGGTTCGATGATAATGTCGATAATGCTTTTGATCAGGGGAGGAATGAGGAGAGGTACGACGACAACTATTGAACGTTGTCTTGAGCCCACCTAAAAGCGAAGGGGTGGGTGCAGATATGAGAGACGAGATGAGCATTGGAAGCGAAAAGGCATTGGAAGCGAGTAGGCATTGGAAGCAGCTATGACCTATGAAACATACGATCAGCATGCACGTCCGTAACCTTTCCGTCGAGGTACAAAGAGCTGGGAAGGTGAGATGGGCTACATGCACTTCTGCCTTCCTATGGCTCGACCACCGAGTGAGCTGATGCCCTCAAAATCGAGTTGAGCTTGGGAATACCTTCCAAACCCCTTAAACTTTCTTCCCCGAAAGGCTCAGCATATTATTGGACTAGCTGGTCAGCGCGAAAAATATTAGCAGCAGCGGACCTAGGCCAGTAAGGATTAGCTAATTGCTACCTAGATAACCGGGCGACCTAGCGAGGTCAATAAGCTCATCTGATGACATCTCAACCTTTACAACCACATTTCGAGCCGTAGATTGATATTCCAGTCGACCTGAGAAGTATGAGCTTCTTCCAAGGTCTTTTTCAGATTCTTTAGAGACTTCGGAGACAAAGCTAAGGCACTATGTGCCCCCCCTCCGAATACCTATATCCCGATTTTGGCGGCTCCCAACGTGGGCTGGGATACAACAATGCCCGAAAAAAACCGACGACTGCATTGCCACATTATATACTAGGCATCTATCACTCTACTGTCTTTGGTTATGACGCTATTCATGTTCACATTCCTTTTCTAACTTTCGTATCACTACCTAGCGCTTCAAGCTTCATCATATTACGCAAATTTCGATATCGAGGTCAGAAGCTTTATCGCTCTGTAATCCAGCATCCAGAACTTCAGTATTGAGCCTTCACCAACTCATCTTTCTCTCTTTTCTCCTCGTACGTCTCGATGCTGCTGATGCCCTTAGACATACCATTCCATTGGAGACCCTGCTCGTCCATCAACTTCGCCCAGGTGTCCATCGCCTTCTTCCACGAGGGTCTGGAAGGCATTCGTTCATTCCAGCGTTTCACGCTTGGAAACTCGTCAAACTTTTGCTCCGCGGAGACCGACAGAAGGGTTCCGACCATACTGTTCCAAGGCGCGAAAGCAAGGTCGGCCAATGTGCATTTATTGCCAACTAACCACTGCTTTCCGTCCAAACAGCTATCCAGGAGCCTGAGAAAGCGCCTTACTTCATTCGTGTACCGCTCCATGACCTATGGTATCTTTTCAGAGTGTAGGACGTTGAACCTATGTTGTCAGTGCTCAAGACACTCCTGCCCTTCGTGGACGCATACCACGCGGCTTGCCCGAACTAGGGTCCTTACCCACTCATCTGAAACATGAGCCATTGATTGCACTGATGCTTCTCTACCAACGAATCGAACGTCAAGACCTTCTCCGTGTCGTACGGCTCAACCAAATACTGGATGATGGCACTGGACTCCCAGAGCGTAAGGTTGGTATTAGGGTCCTCAATCGCTGGTATTATCAGCACGCCGGCTTTAATTTTCTTCGGGTCGAGAGCTACCTGGAACCCGGCCATTAGGATTGATGTCGATGAAAGGCTTCTTCTTGACCTCTCCGAATCCGAAAAATGTGATCTCGTATGGTATTTTCAGCTCCTCTAGGACGATAGTGACCTACGATCGGCAGTCAATACACGTCTGCAGATTTGAACACACCCATTTAAAATACCTTATAAGGGGTTGGACCAGATGCTAGTGGTGTTTTAGCGCCAGTTACGACCGTTTGGTGTTTCGCTCGTGAACCTCATTCACGGATCAACCAAAGTCGTATAGGCTTTATCATAATGTGTAATTAACACTAAATTAGTGAATCTCGATTTATGGGGGGGGGGGGGGGAGCTTGATTGTGAGTGTATGCGGAGTTGCGAAAGGCGTCACCTTTGAACAAGGCGACTCAGATGGTCGAGGGCAAGCTGACATTGCTTAGAGGCTACGGACTATTCATCCCTAGGTACACATGGGCTCAAGTGCTTACAGCGACGTCCGATTCTCTCGGGACGCCTGTATAGTTTCATTCAATCACAGCGGTTTCTACCCTTTCAAGCGGGGCATGGAAAAGGTGGCACATTAATTCTGGAACAGGCTGTCTCGTGTGTACACCTGCCTGCCACTGCTTGGGTTGCTTCAATGGATTTTCAGGATTTTAAAGAAGATAAATGCTCTTTGCCTTGGGCTATATAAAAACGTACTGAAGCACTTCCTGTAGTGGTAAATAGGTACACACGGGCGGAGTACTTGATGAGTGTGCTACCTTTTTCATGCCTAGCGTGCCTTCTAGATGGGAATACTAATAGCAGCGCATATTCAAAGAAGACCTCATATTATGGATCCACAGTAATCATTGCCTTGCCTCACAAAGTTAATTGTTATCATGGACTGACCAATTTCGAGGTAGATTCTGGGTCCAGCTTTAACCTATTCTTTCGCAGATGTCGTAGGTTTAGAGAGGGTGGACTCTTCAAGGACTCATAGCTCCAAACACTCTGCACTTTTATGATGAAGAATGGAATGAGATAGAAGAACAGAAAGATCTTGGAGACTTGATCTCAGAGATCCATGCCTCCAGAGTGGCGTCCACTTCTAATCAAATCCGGCAATGAACTAAATTGTCACGTGACTTACACCCTCTTTCAGAACGTACTGTTCATTCCTAATAGCCAAACTATATATCGCATAGCCCGCCCCATCTCAATTGCAAAGCTCTCGGGTATCTTCAGCCTAAGTATCGAACCACTCCAAGGGATCGTCCTTCTTGAAGATCGCACGATACACATGGTCTCCATCCTCCTTCACCACCTCCTCGGTATGAATGCAATGAAGCTTTGCCACGCGATCCTCCTCACTCGCACCATCCGTTCCTTCCTCGGCGGCCACGAACACCCTCACATGGATGTACGAGCCCGGCGCGGCGGGGAGCCCTACCTTGCCGAAGAGGTGCAGGCCGTAGGCGCTGGAGCCGACGCGGACCGCTTCGAGGTCCGAGATAGTGAATGAGGTGAGGTCGTTGTCGGAGAGGGAGGAGACGGCGCGGAAGTACTCTGGTTCGTGCTCTTGAGTTCGTATGTTAGCGGGGTAGGTGGGGTGAGGGGCGAAGAGGGGTTTAGGGAAGGGGGTGTTACTATCGTGCTGGTGGCGAATGTAGATGAGTTTATGCTTGAGGGCAGGCAGGACGGTTGTGAAGGCGGTGATGGAGGCTTCTTTTGGGCTGTGGAGGTCGGAGAGGGTGACGTTTTCGGAGGTTGCCATGGTGATGGTTTGGTGGGATGATTGCTGGGTGCTGGAAGTGGTTATGATGGTAAAGAAGGTGGTGAGCTGACTAGGATATTGTGGTTGTAGAGAGAAGGGTGTTGGAGAATAGAAACTGGAGGTGAAGTGGATTTTGGCTTAATATCATGGCCTGATCTCTACGACGGATGGTGTAACAGAATTGCGCTAGGTTAGAAGCTTGTTTGTTGGTATGACATCGTCCAAGCCTTGCGAGAGGCCTATAAACGCGTGAAGACGCGCTGGAACGCGAGATGTCTTGCTATATCACGAAAGGAACTCTAGGATCGTGACATGGGTTTGATGAAGGGGAAAGGTTAGATAAGAAGTTATCCAGGGTCTAAAAGCCTAATACGAAAGAGGTAACGCCTTCTAGGTACCCGACTGCTACCTAAAATCCTTCGCGCATTCAAATACTTCAATATTTTTCCTCCTGCTTCCTCCTTCCTCCAAAACATCAATTCAATCGACAATGGGCTACTCAGAAGTGCATTGTCGCCTCTGCGACGTTGTATTCAACATTAGCCGTCTCCGAAAGCCAGACGACCCACCGTCGCATGCTTGGATGAACACGGGAGACGGAAACACGCGGTTTGTTCCAGCTGAGAATCGGTGGGATTCATCGTGTACTAGCGAAGACGGATGCTATGGCGTTTGGAGAGGAAAAGAGCCCCCTGACCGCCGGCAGGGAGAAGGAGAATGGCGCGCTATCGCGGTGGATGAGGACGAGAACGATTCCAACTATGTGTATGAGAGCTCTGACGGGGAGGAAGAGTACGAATTCGAGTCCGACGACGATCTTGGTGATGGTGAAATCGAAGATCTGGAGGGAACGGAATACGACGTGGAGATGACAGATGCCGACTCAGAGCCCGAATGGGCCCGTTTTCTCAAGAGCGATTCTGGTCTCGCATATAAGCCTCACAACCCACACCATCATCCGGATCTCATGGAGACAGAGCAACCGGCTGGCGGAAAACGTATAGGGGATATCATTAAGATAGAAAAAGAATTAGCGGACAGAGAAGTAGAAGGTGGGCGCCCGTCAAAATTCTCCCGCGGAACGGGTACGGGTATCCCCAGCATATCAGTCCATGCTAACATGACACAGGATGCGAACATATAGCGGGACCAACTTGCACATGCGATCGCGGTTACAACGGGCATCGCATTACTGCTGAAGAAATGCGTGGCTGTACCACCTTCCAATGCTTTGTTCGGAAGCTTGAACGGTGGAGCCCTGATGAGCATGACCAAGACTTCGAAGCAACGAGCACTCACTTCCTCTCCGGACTTTGCGACCACATGCCTTCGACGGACAGTGGAGGTGATCCAGAAGTCATCCCAGCAAGACACGGCGTTGAGGAGGTCTGCGCGTCAGACACCATATGGGGTGTAAGTTATTCAGGCCTGGAGTTGCACGGCACTACTGCTACTCATTACTGTTGTCGCTGATTTATACTCTCGTTAACTTCTGGTGAATTTAGCTTGGACACGAATCTATGCCCTTCCATACAGCATGTCTGGACATCTTCCTGCGAATGTCAAAACTAGAATTCGGGGAATTCGATGTCAATGGACTCTGCGCATGGTACTACGCTGAACCCGAGTACCACTGGTCCCCCAAAACCGAAAGGGACAAGGACATAGAGGCCTGCCAAAATCAGTGGTGGATACACGCTGATGGCACAGAATATCTTGCAGCCAACCCGGTCTTCGTGCCTCGCCTAAGTCAGATACTTCGTTCAGCAGTGTCTGAAGACCCAAACTTTGATACTCAAGCTGGAGCATTCAAGGGCCTTGGGTCGCCTTCCGCCGAGGGGCAGGATGATCGGTTCACCACTTTACCATTGGAATTAAGATTGGAGGTTCTGGGCTACCTCGATCCGAAAGACATTGCGAACTTGCGTTTATCTTCGCGCACATTCTACCAGCTGCCCATCTACCTTTGGCGCACGTTCATTCAGCGAGATATGCCATGGCTGTGGGAGACATGGAGCGACCAGAAACCCTATCTTTGGAGCATGGTCACGGTCGAGGCACTGAAGATGGAGAAGGCCGAAGAAAAAGTTTTCGTGGAAGAGTTCAATTTGTATAGGAGGGTGATACGGGAGGAGATGCCCGAACTTCTTGACATGTGGCTGGGTGCGGAGAGAAGCATTATGGACCGCAGAGTTGACAAATTAATCACTCAGTGCGAGAGTGAAGCTCTGAAAGAGTTGGTTTGGACAGTGCCGCCGGAGAAGATCAACTGGTATCAACTATATTCTGATATCGCGCGCAACTGGAGCAGTCTCAAGGGGCTAAAGAATCGGAGCAGGATCTGGCAGTATGAAAGGTATATCATCGACTGGATCGGCAAGCATCGTGAGGAGAAGAGGCTACAAAATAGTAAGATGTTTGCCAGTTGATTGAGTTGGAAGAAGTACGAAAGTTCGGTAGCATACTCTCGATGTTGGGGGCAGTTCACGGCTTGAAATTCAGCATTGGTTTGCACATGTATAGACCCCTGCCCTGTCAGAAAATACAAATGACTTCAATACATTGGATGTGGCTCTTCCATTTGTTTTGTATTCCATCTTCGTCTACTTAATTGGCTTCTTTCCCGATCTTTGTCCGCTCTGCTACCAATCTCTCCACCAGCCTCCCGACTTCGTCTCTGGTCACGAATCTCCCGCTCAATGCCTCCTCACTCAGAAACGCTCCCTCTCTGATGTCGACCTCACTCGGCAAATCCGTTCGATCAGCTGCCAGATATGTCATCAAGGATATAATACAGATCTGGGCGCCTCCTCCGACGCCCACCGTCCAAAATGCTAAACCACCATTCCACGCTATCGCGCCGCTCTTCACACAATGAACGCCCAGCGCTGGCCAGAAAGTTAGAGTCAGCGCCGTCGTCAGGAACGCCAGCCAGCGCGGGTACAGCGGTTTTTCTCTCCGATCTAGCAGTACTGCCCAACTGAAGGCGACGTCCTGGCAGAGTAGACTCGCAAACGGCTGTCAGAGACGTCAGCGTGTCGACTTTCAAAAGAGCTTAAAATTGATTGTTTCGTGCAAGTGAAAAACATACCATGGCGAAAAAGATCCAGCTAAGATCATTCAATAGCTGAATCAGCTCCGGCGCACGATCAGTCCTGTACACCGTCGTTGCAAAGAAGTACGCCGGTAGTGTAAGGAATAATCCACCGAGACATCCACCGAGCAATTGCGCATTCAGCACCGTGGTGGGTACACCGGGAATCCGCGAGATCTGGCCCCCAATTGCGCACGTGTACATGGGGAAGAAGAAACCGACTAAAGTCATCAGCGCGATACCGCCCTTAAGCCCGGTTTCATGGCGCTGGTAGTGATGCGCCACGGCTTCGGCGCTGCGGTACGGCGAGATGGGCGGCAGGAAGCTGGCGGCGGGCAGCATGATAAAAAAGAAAGTGATGGCTATAGGACCACATGCTGCGGCGAATTTGGCGAACGCGGAAGGGGAAAGGAAGAATGGACGGTTCTCTTTTGGTTTGGCCACGGCCGGGGGGCTGGAGATTGAGGATGTCGAGGCGGCCATGGTGGAGATGGCGTCGGAGGGTTTCAAGATCCGAGGAGTAGTGGTGTTGAGCGGTGGTTTGATATGTGGGTGTTCTGCTCTTAAAGGTTCCCCGGACCCGCTCCCCGGATCAATCTTACAAAGGTATTACTCCGAGGGAAGTGGGGGGGGGGGGGGGGGGGGGGGGGGGGGGGGTGAGTGTGCGAGTAACGTTGGCGTTGATCTGCGCAGGGCGCACTTGCATATGAACGTGCCGGATCTGGAGGCTGCCGCATTCGTCGCCGAACATCCAGAAGTATCGAAGGCTATCATAGGAGTAACGGTAAATTACCACTCTCGTCCGGCAACACCCGCTCAATTCGTAATGGTTGACGGGCTCTGATACGTCTTCAGGCTTTAGTGGCTTCTCTCGGAGGCATTGATTCCGGCCCCCGGGTGGCTTTCATGGACAAAATGGGCATCATTCCCAGAGGCTTTATTCAAACAGCTCTCAAGATATATCCGGGGGCCCACTGGTACTGCGGTGTCGCTGAGAACATTGTTCCAAACGTCGCTTGTGAGCCTAATTCTTACACATGTCTTCAATGAACTGGTGCAACCACGACATCCCCATGGAGCTTCGAGAGTGGCACGGCCATTTCATATTTAACTGTTGGATATGAGATTGGCAGCTCTTGCGTCTCGTGGGACGCTTCCATTTCTTCTGGCGGGTATTGTGGGCATCCCGGTACTTGCTGGATATCTGCGCATGCTCGACCTCTTCTTCGAAGAAGTAGCCATACTAACGCTATTATTATAGTCAAAACAGCGATTCCAACGACCATTCCAATCACTATAGATGCTCTGGTGGAGAGGCTGTGCGAACTGGATGATGTAGGGTTTGCGGATGATGAGGCTAGAGTAGTATAAATACTCGGAGCTGCTGTCGCAGAGACGGAAGAAGCAGTAGTATACAGCATGTAAGTCTTGAATTGCTCTACACCTTCTAAGTTCGCGCCTAAAACCTAGGTTGATAGGAAAGATAACCTCTTTGTAAGACTATCTTACAAGGGTACGAACTCGCAGAACGTATAGTTAGTAGTAGACAGCTTAGCCGAGTTCACTAACGTGATGTGGAGCCTCCAGCTCCACAGCTTCTTGACCAGTGGGTAACTCTCGAGAATCTTCGACTCGGGCTTTTTCCCAATGATCCTCCCCGTCGAGTTCAGGTTTGGTAGACTCATCAGGCGTATGGGGCTGAACTCGCAGTCTATGTCGCCGGAAGAGAAGAAAGCTACCGACAAAGAGCAAGGCTAGAGCTGCAATAGCTGTGCCAGCACCTATCCCTGCCTTCGCACCAGTGGAGAGACTTTTTTTGGTAATTGTAGGTTTTTGTACAGAAGATGATTTGCTTGGGGAGACAGAGGTCGACGGACTAACAATTGCCTTGTGCACTTCTCTGTTGCATATGTAGGATTGCAGAACCCCTTCGTTTAGATAGTCATCGAAGGCCGAGCAGTTCAGAGCGGTCTTCGTACTGCTAATTGAGAGCGCGCCTGCTCTCTTTAGGTCTGGAAGTAGAACCCTATTCGGCAATTAGGTACGAATAAATACGCGATAGAATACCGGAACTCTTCGAGCACTTACTTGTTGAAATCGCCATCAAACTCGATAGTCCCATTTACTGTACCAAGTTGGCCGAACCCATTGATCGATTCAATCACGGTGTTGTTCTGAATTGCCAGGCTTCCAACCGACAGAATATTGGGCATTGAGACCTTTCTGAGATAGGTATTGCTGTGCATTTCGAGGGCCCCTTTGATAACACTCAGAGTATTCACGGTAAGATCCTCCATGTCGCAACAGGAAATACCCCAAGAATCGTCCACATAATTAAGAGACGGCATATCTATTGAAGACGCATTTCTGATTGTTATATTGCTTGCCCATTGCAGGCTAGGAAATGATATGTTTACGGCGGGGTTATTCGCTTCTATGGTCAATGAACTACCGATGTTGGTGAGTGGGATCGAAATATTGTTTAGGTATCCTGCGGTCAGTGTTAGCTATTCCGGATTGCAGGATATACGGCAAGGTATAATTACGGTTGTTTGCGATAAGAACAGTGTCCGCCACCTTTATATTGAGCCCATCCAGACTATCCAACTCACTGTACTGGATCCTGACCCCCGTAACCAAGTTGATACCAGCTGTGAAAATAAATTGCTGAAGATTTGGCAGGGCGTTCCATTCGATATCTCCTACGTTGGTGAGGTCTGGAAAGCTAAGTGTTGTAAGGACTTGAACCTCATTCATTACGCATTTGCCGTCAATCTTCTCCTGGCTGGGCCCACCCAAGCTTGAGAAGAGCGAGACATTAGTTACGACGAAGTCGCCGTTGACGCGTTGTAAGTCTCCGACGTCAATTTGATCGGTGACGCCAGTCGCTATGGTCACGTCCCCTGTGAAAGTCGTGCAGCTAGCAAGGGCTGTCGCGTCGTCTTGCTTTTGTATCGTCGTCGTTCCATTGCAGGCTTGAACACGCCAGGATTTCTCGCTTTAGTCAAACTGGGTTGCGAGAACGCAATACCTGAAGAAGCGACGCTTATGAATGTACACAATACAGCGGTGATGCGCAATGCTAGAAACATCTTCTCTAGCAGAAAGTTCGCGTCAACTCGGGGTTGCAGCTGTAATGTCGTGGCAGGCTGATGAGATACAAAGGCTGGGACTCGACACACGGATCTTCGATGTACACCAAGACAGAAGGGCTGTATGTTGCGTCCCTTTGTCTTCAAGCACCTACGGCGAAGCGATTCAGAGGCGTAGTGGTAGTGGGTAGAGTAGAGTACAGAATAAATGAAAAATATGGCAGCGCGCTGGGGGACCCACCAAGTTCCCGGCCTAACCTTGCATTAGCTTTTCTCAGCCTTGTGTGCCCAAGTGTCCTGATAACATACATACAGCCTCTATTCACGCCCGGTGGTCCAGCGCGGGAGCTGAGTCGACCCTGGTTAACCTCCTTTTCTGGGCTAATGTTGAAGTGGCTTGAATAACAATTGGTTAAGAGGCTGCTCTCCCCCCCTATGTAGAGGCGTCCGGAAAAGCTACTTTATATGCCAATATTGTGGCGTGTATGCCAATATTGCGGCATGATATTAGCGATAGGTCACCAGACGTGGAAAGAGTCTGTAATGGATTGGTGGTCAGTTGCTGGAGGAGCTCGAAGCTAACAACTCCACTTCATATCAACCATGCTGTACAACAGGGATGAAGCAGGTAAAACCTTGGAAGGTCTTAGGAGGCTTCAGCCTTGCTTGGCAAAGGAAAGCACAGTCCGCACAAAATGCGAGCTGCCACGCCGTACTGAAATCATTTCGGGCAGGATCAACTGTGGCTTAGCCACTATTCTACCAAGTGTTGTTGGTTGTCACGTGACCATGATTACGTTGTCACTTTGTCCTGCTCTATCTCCTCGCATCACCATGTTCTCTGCGTCCATCCCAACACAACCGGCTGCTGCTGTTGCGTTCATGAAAGTCTAGCACCTCTACACTATGGCTGTGGGTGGCTGCACCACTTGATGTAGCACTACAGACCCACGCAGCACTCGTACCCCTGATAACGCGCGTGTGCATGGACGCGCTTGGAAGTGGCGCACGGTACGCCGTAGAAAGACTCAGGCCAAGGGTACGACCTTTCATGCCGCTACCCCCTCGGCGGCCCATCCGTCCAAAGAGACAATTCGTCCTGAAGTGGAATGAGAACCTGATCGATCACTCCTTGGCGAAAGTCTGGATCTTGGAGATCGGCGTTGGGATCGGCAAAGCACTTCAAACAATGCGAGACTGCATTCTGGAAGGCCCACGAGAGATTCCCCTTTTCCCGTCTAACCCAGCGGTTGGCAATGCTGAGATTTTCATAATCGTTCGGTGGCTGAGAAAGACCTCCAGGCGTCTCAGCGCGGAGGCTTTCGATGGGTTGGTTGAAGTAGACTTCTAGAAGAACTATTCCAAGAGCGAGAAGCTTCGAGCTATCGCCTTCTGCATCGAATAAATGATTTTGAGCGCTAAGGTCTTGTGGGGACCAGTTTTGTGTTACGTAGGGATATCTGACTTGTACAACGCTTCCAGGGTTGCCTTTTTGGGACGGGGCGAGTTTGATGAAGGAGATATCTCGCTTGCTCCACCGGCTCCGCAGCCATGGTGTTGAATGTAGTTGTAGAAGAGAAGACGACAGCGTTACAGCAAGCAAATAGCATTCTTCCTTAGTCAGTTTCTGCGTACCAGATACAGAGCTATCCCGGATTAGTTCATCTAGAGTCATGAAATCGCTGTCATTCACTGTGAGTCGCTTCGGTGCGCCAAATATTCCTTTGAGTTTGCCGGAATGGTCTAGGTAGAATCTTGGACATGTCGTGGCAAACGGATAGTCTTGTAATGCTGAGCAGACACTTGTAATCTCCTTAAGTGCCTTGAGGGTGTCCGTGGCACTCTGAGCAGTCGGTGATGGCGGGGAAACTGCGATTGTTACTTTACTCTTGCTTCTGTGTCGAGTCAGAGCGTGAACGTATATAGTATATTCACCAGAAGGCATCAATACGTACTTGGTTGGCAGTTCCGACTCCTCCATAACCTGGACCTCAGCATCTCTCCACCCGGAAGGTAAGGAAGGGTCTGAAATCGACAACACGAAGCGAGCGATGCCGTCGGAGCATTTGTCCGTCGAAGGATTCAAGTTTTTCATTTTCTTCTTCGCAAGCACCATTCGTTGCTCCAATAAGAGATTGATTGCATGATTTGAATGAGCGTCACAACCCCAGGATCGATTCAGTACTTGGTACAAGCTTTTGGCGTATTGCTGTATGCGATGCAAAGGAACTGTGAATTTCGACTTGTTGTTGCTTTTGTATGGTTCTAGCTTCTCGGCTTTTTCAGTAAAGGTATCGAGCCTGGCAATGCAGCTTTCCAATTGTTGTAGTTGTCGTTTGACCTTCTGTTTCTTCATAGTGAATTTGATTCGTTTTTGGAATTGGAAGTCACGAGAAGAGCCACTCCTCATGGTTCTGGGGTTTGCAATCACTACTGCCTCAAGCTCATTGCGAGTGATCTAGTTTCTTGTCAACATCGAAGGTAAATGTAATACGGTATATAGCCTTACCTGGGTAGCTTTGTTGAGATTTAGACATGCTGTCATCTCTAATATAATCCTTTCTATCTCGGACGCGGTGTATAAATAGGGCTGATATGCAGTTGCAAGCTTGTCCTGAAGCCTTTCGCATATGTCTTCGCTCTTCCAAAGTTTGCCAGTGGTGTCTCCCATCATTTCCTCGAGCTCGGCCTCTGACGTGATAGACGCAAGAAGACCGCGGATGGTAAGCTCATAGGAGCTATACTGCCCCCAAAGCTTGCGAATAGCTTCGGAGAGTTCATCTTCCCACTTCCAGAAAGCTTTCACTTTCCCCAGGCCTTCTTCGTAATACTCGAGGCCTGCGATCACCAAAGGTATCGCGCCAAGAACGATGCCGGCAACCTCGAAGCCTGACATGGTAGCAGCTGCAGATTTCAGAGAACTGATAGAGACCGGCGTAAGATGATGTCCATTCCAGCTGTCGACTCGGGGGACGCTGAGTTTGAGATGTGGCAAGGCTGAGATGTGAGAGGCGATCTGCTTCGTAACGTCTCGGCCAAGCGTGGGTGGGGGCTGAAATAGGGCACCAAAACTTCGTCTTTCAATTCCGACCTCGGCCACCTAAGAAGTTGTACATATGATCCATGTCAGTATGAACAGATTCTCCGAGCATAATGCCTTAGAAGTTCGTTTGTTTTGGCCTTCATGAGATACATCTCACGAGAATTCCACCAAAAACGGCATAGGTCTTTCCACTTTAGTAGCCCCTGCTATCTTGATCAAGACTGCAGCCTTCATCCCACCAGAGCCTTGCCAGACGGGCCTTTTCCAACCACAACAGCCCAAAAGCGCCGCAAAGAGTCCCCTCGGAGATGCCATGCATCACTATTACTCGTTATGGCATCCATATATGATGCCAGCGCGGCATGTTTCCGTTTGTTCGGGAATCTGCGCAAAGCGCTTACCAAACCTGGTATCATGCCAGAGCTCCTCGAAAAAATGCCCCCGAGTTTGGTCGAAGAAAACCACGGTCGCTACAAGGTTTGGCTCGGGAACCTTGGGGCACTTCAGCAAGGCCATGGCTCCTTGGACTTCCGCCTTCGAGAATCAAGTGTCATGCAGGCGAACGTCATCAAGCTCCTAGACCAGCTTCGAAGCAACCTAGATGAGAGCGTGGCTGTTGTATCAGGATCGAGACTACCTTTCGAACTGCAAACTCAACCAAGCGATTCTGACGACGATGACGAGGATTCGGAAACTTCCAGTGAGGATTCCGAAGATGAGCCTGCTGCTACCAGATCGGAGCTGCGGCAGCGTTTGACAAGCATCAACGGCATCATAGCAGACCTGTATAAGCTCTCTTTCAAGATACGAAGCACTACAACAAGATCAAAGACGAGAAAAGCTGCAACATATATCGAGGTAGATCCAGAGACTGGCGTGGAGCTGTTCTCCCAATACGCGGCCTATGATTCTCTTTACGTCACCGAGTTCCTACACAGCCTTCAGAAGTCCAGCTCTGGCGATGAAGTCGAGTCTTCTTTTCTAATAGATCGACTGAGTCAAGCCATTACTAGGCGGCGTAAGCAATTTAGATATTGGAAAAGGCATGGAAGCAAGCTTGCTACGGCTCACGCACCCTTCGAATCCCACCACGATGAAGAAACTCAGTCAGCGCGGCAACGGCAATCTCAACCACCAGAAGCTAGCGGGAAGGCACTCCGCGACAGACTCATCAGACTTGATGCCACGCCTAGCGTTCTTTCGAGGTCCATTTTCTCTGGGACCGAGGCGACTATGTATGACAAGAAGCTCGACGATCTGCTGGAGACTCAATCTGTTGTTTCCTACGTTACCACAGCGTACAATGTTGATGGGAAAGGAGTTGATCTACCACCACCACCGCCGGGAGCAGCTTCCGGATCTGGATTCGTTTGTCCGTACTGTATGGTCCTCTGCCCTCCCAGGCACGGGACGGGGCGATCATGGAGGTATGTACTGTCTCGCGTTTGATTCATTTCACTTAGTTCGTACTCACAAACACCAGGGCTCATATCATCCAAGACATACAGCCATATATGTGCACTTATCCGGACTGTGCGGAGTCTAATACTATGTACAATAGCCGACGCCAATGGCTTGAACACGAAGGATCCGCGCACCGGAAAGTCTGGCAATGTTTCGAACATTCCGGCGCAGTTTTTGGATCAGCTGACGGTTTTCGAAACCACCTCAGGTCGCAACATCCGGAAGATATGACGGACGAGCAGATATCTGACGTAATAGAAGTTGCAGAGACCTATCTGATAGACGAGCGGAAGAAATGTCCATTCTGCTTGGTGGAGCTCCCATCGAATGAGAGCATGCAAACTCACTTGGCCTATCATCTGGAAGCGATCGCCTGCTTTTCGTTGCCGAGGTGTGGTACCGGAGATGAGGAGTCGCAGGCTAGCAGTAATGCGCCGCAAGCGCGCAGTCTTGGATCGCAAGATTCTGGGTCAAAAGGATCTCTATCATTTCCTGAGCCGCCCCCGCGATCCCCCAGCGGCTCTGACATTTCAAACAATGGCGAACCGATTCAGAAGGTTCCAGAATCACCATCAGATGTCGGATTTGGAGAATACCCGGACTCTAGCGAAGGCAGAGTGAAAGAAACAGGGGGTCCTGCACTCTCAGCAGGCTCGTTTGAATTGGGTGTAACGAATGCTTCGGAAACATCAGCACCGAGACGAGAGAGTTCGAGCTCGAATATCACCACTTATACCGATACCGACAAGCGAGGCGCGCCTCTCATGTGGAAGAAAGGACAAATGATAAGCAAAGGGTCACATTGCCGGGCCTATCTAGGCATCAATATGGTAACTGGAAAGCTCCTTGTAGTGAAAGAATATGCCGTTAGATCAAAAGAGGAGCAGAAGCGACTGGCCCTGGATAAGGACACCTTCTTCAAGCTCGACCACGTTAACCTTGTCCAGATCCTGGGTCTAGAGGAAAGCAAAAGTAATTTCATAGTGTTTGAGGAATACGTGACAGGCTCTTCCCTTAGATCCCTCATGCCAAAAGATGGCAAGCTCGAAGATTCTGTCATTCGTAGCTTCGCTAGACAGACGACAGCTGCGCTTGCATATCTACATTCGGAAGGCGTCCTCCATAGGAACCTCGAGGCAGATGAAATACAGCTTAATACAGGAAACGGTACCTGCAAGCTGTGTCTCAATTTCGACACCTCCAGGACCAGTAATTGGCCTGACAAAGAGTCCTCCGCGATAGGTGCCGGAACTTGGCTGGCGCCAGAAGTTGTCCGTAGTTCAGGGAACGGCTACTCAGCTAAAGCCGATGTATGGAGTCTTGGATGCTGCGTGCTGGAGATGATGGCGGGCGATAGACCGTGGTCTCTAGGTGCTATCTATATGCCTCCCAGCCTAGCACCGCCGATACCCGACGATGTGGCAGCAGAGGCAAATACGGAAGGCATTGCGTTCATTTACGATTGCTTCACGATGTAAGTCTTCGGCCCGAATGAGCGTCGCCGCGTACCAAAAGCTAATTGAATGCTTTTAAGTGATCCTTCTGAACGCCCTAGCGCGGACACGTTACTTCGCAACCACCCCTACATTGAGATTGACCCAACTTACGATTTCCTTCGTACCGAGCTGTATGCCAAGATCAAGAAGACGGAAGAAGAGAGAGCGATAAAAACAACTGAAAAGGGTCAGGGGCCCGAAGGAGAACGCCCTAGCGCGGACACGTTACTTCGCAACCACCCCTACATTGAGATTGGCCCAGCTTACGATTTCCTTCGTACCGAGCTGTATGCCAAGATCAAGAAGACGGAAGAAGAGAGAGCGATAAAAACAACTGAAAAGGGTCAGGGGCCCGAAGGAGTGCCTGTAAAGAGACCCGAATCGTTGAAGGTCGACACCACCTCCTCCGAAGCCGCTATCGGCGAGGACAGTTTCGCGCACACCAATGATCCAACAGCCAAAGCTCGAGTTGAGGATCTCAACGAAGTCTTCTCAGATGTCAATCTCGACAAGCCTTCCAATGAAATATTTCCGAACGACACCAAAGACGGAACTGGAAAAACACCCAGTTCGCCGGAGGACACTAATGACCAAGAGCGGTTGCGGCCTCTTACTCCATCGGGGCCTACCTCTGGACCTCACCAAGATGAAGGGTTGTTCGAAGGTAACGACAATGATTTAGCCCGCGCTGCTCAAGCTGGGTCTACCTACAACGATTTACTCCAGCTTCTCGACGACATGCAAAACGGTCCCTTCGCATGGCTTTTCCAACAGCCCTCAAATTGGGAACGCTCGCGCAAAGATGGTTACTATAATGTAATCGAAGGGCCAGTAGGTCTAGTAACCATGGAGAATAAGCTTAACAGCGGCGAATATGTTGCCACGAAGGATTTTTTGGAGGACGCAACTCTCCTGTTGGACAAATTCCGTCAACCCACTGAGCCAGCATCCGGCAGGCCGGCGAGTCCAAGAACCACAGCAGCGGACGCACTGCAAGCGCACATAGCTTCGAAGATTGCGGAAATGCCTAAGTGGGTAGCGTTGCCGGCCAGGGGCGATGCTTTAAGGCAACGCAGCGCGCGTATCATTGCTGAGGCACAGGAGAAGGCGGCAGCGAAAGAGCGCGCGAGGGAGCGCAGCAAGGCGTTAAGAGCAGCAGAGCAGACTAGCTCTACAGAAGAACCACAGCCAAGCTCTAAAATATCATTAGTCTCTAGTGACGCCAGGCTAGATCCTCTCGATGACAGCCTCCGCGACGAAATAGATGCAGACAACCCTGAAGAACGTGTTGGGGAAAGGCCACAGGAAAATTTGGACTCGGAGCTGACGCAGGAGAAAGAGGAGAGGAAGAGAGAGCAGCGAGCGAAAGAAGCGAGCTCAGAATCCGAAGCGGAAATTGAGTGGGAGGCAGAGAGCGATGAGGCCGAAGAAGTCGAAGCTGAAAACGCCAATCCCAACTGCTGCGTGTAAGTGCCATTTGTGGGTTGTGGTGAAATAAAAACCTAATTAGGGGCAGATTTTGTGGAGAGGATGAAGAGCACGATCCAAGCGAAGAGTTCGAAGAATACCTGGCATGTGCAGTGTGTGGGAATAACAGTGCGTATTTCTGCCGGCAAGGCTGTTTGCGGATCGGGTAGCTGACATAATTTTGGTTCCTGCAGCACATCGGCAATGCGCCCGAAACGCTGGTACCTTTAAGGCCGATGGCGGTAAGCCTTTGTTTACTTCGACCATCAATTCATCCAGCATATTCGCTAACGCATTTTTAGACGCGGAGCACTGGCGGTGCCCGACCTGCGTAGAAAACGGGCTTGAAGGAGACACCAAACACCAAGATGAGGAGCGGAAACGCATCATCGCTGAACATGCTCGGAAGATAGAGCAACAAGAGCAGGAAGTCAAAAAGCAAAAACAGCGTGCTATCGATGCCTACAACAAGAAGAAGGCCGAGGAGGACGCTGAAGCGAAGGAGGCTCGCGAACGCGCCATTATGGAGTATGAGAGGAAGAAGTCGGATGACGCGGCAAAGGCCAAGAAGCAGAAAGAGGATCTTATCTTCCAGCTCGATATGGAGAAGGAAAAGCGGGAAGATAAGGAGAAGGCCGAGTGGGAGACTTTCCTTCAAAAACAGAAGGCTAAAGATGAGGAGGAGAAGGAAAAGCGACTGCTGGAAGAACTGTCCTTTGCCGAAATATTGTACGGCGTAGACCACACTAGGACCTTAGATATACTCGGTAAATTATTCGATGTACTAGTAAGCCAAGGAAGACGCTTGTCCGCGCAGGAAGTAAGTCGCAGATTGGGAGAGGCTAAGTTGAAGGCCGAGGTCGAGGCATACCTTCAAATGCAGGAGGAAGACAGCGAGGATGAAGATGAGGAGAAGGTCGAGGAGAAGGCCGAGTTAGAGGCTCGTCTTCAAAAGCTGCAGGATAAAGAGGAGGAGAAGGCCGTGTTGGAGGCTCACCTTCAAAGGCTGCAGGATAAAGAGGAGGAGAAGAAGGCTAAGAAGAAGAAGCTGGAGGAGGGACGAGGACTACCGTTAAGAGACACTTCGACCGTTAGACCGGAGCGGACGCTCAACACCAAGTTCGGGGGCACGGTGCCTGGGGTCGTCTTACACAACTTCAAAGCCAAAGAGTTCGACGAGGTGGACGTCATCGAGGGCGAAACTGTCATCGTCGTCGCGCAATCTAATCCAGAATGGGTTATTATAAAGCCTATCGGTCGCTTGGGAGGCCCCGGCTTGGTTCCACTGTCCTATATAGAGATACAGGACAGAGCGACCAGACAAGCCGTTCCCGATTCCCAGGAAGCTATCCAGAGAGCTGGAGTGCCAAATGTCGTGGAGTGGAAGAAGATGAGTGCCGACTACGTGAAGGGCACCATTTCGCTTGGCAAGACAGCCGACGAGAATGCAGAGAATCTCACCGGTGACGAAACCCGGCCAAACATGAACCGACTACCTCAGCAGCCGGCGCAACAGCCACGGACAACAGCGCGCGACATGGCTAGAGGAAGTCAAGCCGAGCTTTCTGAGCGCGAAAAGAGGAAATTGCAGAAGATGGAAGAGCCGTTCAAGCGGATAGAACGTGACAATACACTTGGCGGTACAGCCCTTGTGGGTACAGCTGTAAGTTGTTACTTCACTAGCCCTCTTATGTATGTGGTACTCATCTCAAAACGCAGGGTAAACCATCGTCCAGCGCGAATGTAGAAGCCATTCCTCCAACTGTCTTCGATCATCTGGAAGAGCATCCAAATCCAAAAGCAGAAAACGAACATGACACAGACGACGGACCTCTTCTCCGCAGTTACACCGTGAAGCGCATTAACAGGCTCCTCCCTAATAGCGAGTACACCCTCGAATTAACTCGTGACTACCTAGACGACTATCTACTGATAAAACCTGGTCTCCTGCCGTTCAACCTTAAGTCAAGCAAGACTACGAGGGTGCACTGTAAAAACATAGTTGAATGCAATGTCCATTGGAAACGTCCTAACGAATTCAAGATCGTTGTATTAATTGAGGGCGAAACGAAAGGGTATGATTTCGAGGCACGGGATTACGAAGAGGCCGAGGAGATTGTGAGCGACATTAACAGGAGGAGATTTAGGCGGGAGTGATCAAGAATGAGATCTTATTGCCTGAGCCTGATGAGTTCAAATTGGATCTGCTTGTACTAGATGCTGCCGAGCCCCATCGACTCCAGCACTGGCCCTTCAGAACAACAGCCTGGTATCATGTGGGCCAGCTACGCCGGATGCAGCAGTGATAGCGCAACGGAGCCGAAGCACTTCACCCAGGAAAGCCGGTTGATCCTACACTATGATACGTGCTTCCTCTTCTTTATCCTCCGAACTTCGGTTAAATTGAGAAACAGCAATGCTGAGGCCTCCTAGCTTGCACTCTGTACAACTACGAGCCACGCTCCCGGAAGAGCTCGGTTTTTGGAAAGGCGATGTTCTCGTTGTGCTGCGGAATCAGGATGACGGGTGGTGGGAGGCAGAGGTCCTTGGAGTCGGAGGGACAGGGCTTACGCCTGGTAATTATTGGGACGACTATGAGGGCATAGTAGGTTTCGTCCTGTCTATATGTGCCCTGAGCGTAATGCCTATAGCTGTGCCGAGTAAGCGTCCGACACAAATAACGAACTGACCGCAAGACTGTCGAAGCAATCTGGGCCTTGACATGGAATGATTGCATCGAGTGCCGTCGTAGGCTCTGCCTCCTCATCGCATGTCTCGACTCTCCTTCAACTGGTCTGGTATCTTCCCATCAGATGCATGACGTCTTTCTGTTTGTCGTCAATCGACTGCCATTTCGGCCAACGTTCGGGATCCAGCGAGGCTTCCACGTTGGATTCAGAGCTATTTGCTACCGTCTTGGAAGATGGTGATAGGCTAGAGAAGAGAGGGGAAAAGAAGAGAAGAGAGGAGAAGAGAGGAGGCTGCATGAGCTGGACTCGTCTCTAACAGCAGCTCAACCGTCATAATCAACGAGATGGGCGCTAAGATGTTGCGAGATATCGATTTGCTCCGGCCATTTTCCTGGTCAACACATCCACCGACACGAAGGCAAATTGCAGACTTAACGCGAGTGCGAACGCCAAAGCTCCAGCACAGCCTACCTGGCGTCAGGCCTCTTCCAGTCTACCGCAAGATCCTGGGCGTCTTAGCTGAATTAACCTATTGAAAGGACCCGAAGACCGAGCCGGCATTAACAGAAGGACAGTGCGCTGTATAAGGAGGATTTCGATCCATGGAAAGGCTATTTTGAAGTAATTTATTGAACGCCACCCGCAAACTATCTTTCTCCGAAAAGGTTACAGAATACGCGTGTCATACTCATAGTGGGGATCTAGAAGATGCGGAGGTTGACTGCGGAGGTTGACTCAAGTGAATTCGCCGTGGTTGACGAGCTGGCATTGATGAACGATGCCCCTCACTTGTCCTTTCTTTGACACAATCACATCCCAGTCTATACATAGACATAAGTACTCATCGCACCAGAGACGATGTTTCAAGGCATCCTCGCGTACCGAACGTGACCCGAGAATCCGGCATGCCATTCCAGCCGGCATTCCGACTCGCTCGGGTCGCTCGACGGCACTGAAAGGATTCGCGGGGCTGGAATCAGCCTAGAACAAGCAACGGTGATCCCAGCGGATGGCGATGCAGACGGCGCAGACGCCGAGATGGGTGGGTGACGCGGGGGCGGTGGAAAGAAAGGGAGTCGAGGAAACGCAGCACAGTGCGACCCAGGAGATTGATGAAGGAGGCTCGCATCGGGCCAGTGTTTGAGCGTCAGCCACAGCGAATCGCGCGCTCGCCAGGCGCCGGACATGTCACACCAGCCATGCAGTCGCTCGACGAAAGGCGCACAGCAGGCTGTGACAGCGCAGTGTGAAGAGTAGAAGGGTTGTCTTTGGCTCTCACCATGCGAAGATGGCGCCGGTGGGAGCAGCGCTTCAAGAGGGTTGAGCAGCGGGTCAGGCGATTCTGGGCTAGGGAAATTTCACAACCCTTGGCCCCCTTCACCCCTGCGGCTGGCGATCTCGGCGTCAGCGCAAAAGCCTGGGCCGCTCCCGCTGCCCGGGAGTTGTTTCGTGTTCCTGGCGGGAGGAACGTGGCGTTTTTAGCATTTTCCGAGGCCGTGGTGTTTTGCCTGTTCCTGCAGTAAGGAACGTCAAGGGGCAGCAAGCGGGATATCCATTGGCTACTCCGTCCTCCGTAAGCGACTAACAGCTGTAAGAAACAGCCTCCAGCATCACACTAGGAAATACTACCGGCTTCGCGCTGGCGCTGCAAAACAACCCGCTGTCTGTTTCGTTTGCTGTGTGCCTGGCGAGACCCCTGACGGTGGCGCATGCAGGGCTCCAGCTGTTTGTTGCATCGTCAGCCCGCTAAATAACCTCGCTCACCTCCCCATCTCTTTCCTTCACCACTCTCTGCCTCACTCTTTTCGGGCATTCAGCTTCAGGTACAGGACTACCGCTCCCCTTCTTGTTCATCACTTCAGTCACTCATTTCTTCTTCGCGAGTCTGAGACTCCGACCACACTCATTACCGCATCAGGAAATATCGCGACCCCTCACAGTAACCTGACCAAAACGAAAACCGTCTTATCTGCTCAACATGTATTCTGACCTCAAAACTTCGGCCGTTGCCATTTTGGCTGGCCTCGCTGCGACCGCCACCGCTATCACCGGTCCTGGCGATTTCTGCTACGGCCCGTACTTCTCTATGTACAATCGCGGCGGCAAATCCATGAGCTACCAGAGACTCGATCCTGCTATCAACCCTGGCGTCGAGTCGCCTCATTTGCACTCGTTCGACGGCGGCAACAATATCGGCTCGACCTTAACCACCGCCGAACTACAGGCCAGTACCTGCACCACAAACAGGATAAAGCAGGACAAGTCCATCTACTGGAACCCTACCCTCCACTTCAAGAACGATACGGGCTTCTACCTTGTGCCAGAGATATACAAGAAGGTCTACTACAAGTACGGCGACAACGACGTCACCTATAAACCCGACGTGTTCCCCAAGGACTTCATGATGATTGCCGGAGAGTCCAAAGCCCGTAGCGACGACGACATGGTAGCAGATGCTGGCGTGTCATGGGCTTGCCTGGGTGACAACTACAGCCGCATCGGTGACAAGCCTGGATTCCCGTCGGGCTTCACTTCTTGCACTGAGGGATTAGCTACCCAGCTGACCTTCCCCTCGTGCTGGAACGGCAACCCCATCAACCCCAAAGAGCCCAATGCGCACATGGCTTACCCCACCGGGCCAGGCACAGGTATCGATAAGTGCCCCACTGGTTTCCAGAAGGCTCGCTTCCCTGCTATCTTCATCGAGTTCTGGTGGGATGTCACTCCATTTGACGGCTACTACACCAGCGACGAAACCCCCTGGGCGCTGTCCAACGGCGATCCCACCGGCAAGGGCTTCCACGCTGATTTCGTAAGTTTCTATTGATCTAAGATACTCTATCATCACTGACATCTTGAAAAGGCAAATGGCTGGGAAGAAGGCGTCCTCGAGAAGACCATTGGCGCAGATGGTCTGCAGTGCGGTTGCGGCTGCGGTAATGACGAATTCAACGCATTCTTCGGCGAAGAAAACGTCAACCAGGACGGCTCTGCGGACTTCGATGCCTGCTTCGCTACCCCGGAATTCCCTGGCGACGATGTTGAGTTCCTGGAGAAGCTTCCTGGCTGCAATCCTCTCCAATACGGCCCTGCGCTAGCTACTGCCGTCACCGGAGCCGGCTGCTCTGCTACTGCTATCAGCACTCCCAAGGCCACCTACGCCAGTGCTGCGACATCTCTTGTGGTTGTTTCTACCGTCTCGTCATCTGCTGCTTCTTCCGTTGTGTCATCTGCGGTTTCATCCGTGTCGTCGTCCTCGGCTTCATCCGTTGCCGATACCTCTGCCGTTTACACCTCGACATCCGTCCAAGCAGCTGATGTCAGCTCGACCGAGTCCCCCGCCAAGCTCAGCCTCAGTCTCCCAGGCAAAGGTGTAAGCGAGGCCACTACCACCTCTGAGGGCGCCGCATACAGCACCGGAAGCGCGAGCTTCGTTTTTCTTTCCGAGACCGGCAGCGCCCCAGCCAGCGAGACCACCGTTGCGGCCGTCCTGTCCGGCGTCGTTCCTGGAGGCCCTGAGGTTCCCTATAGCGCATCATCTCTCGCTGTAGCCAGCGAGACTACCGCTGCGGCCGTCGGGTCCAGCGCTGTTCCCGGAGGCCCTGAAGTGCCTTATAGCGCATCATCTTTCGCTGCGGTCTCAACCGCAGCGGCCGTTCCTACCTCACCATCCGAAAGTGGTTGCAAGGCACCCGTCTATGTCACTATTACTCCCACTGTCTATGTGACGGCCGGAGCAGTCGGCACTGGTGGATGTGCCGGAAAGCAGACAGTCTACACCACCGTGACCAACACAGAGACGGTTACTGTAGGGCCCGGCACGGGTGGCTACAAGCCCAAGCATCGCCGCCATTTGGCGGCGCACTTGCACAAGCACTAAATGAGCTCACTTGTCCAAGTTTCTAGCGTTTCAAGAGGATATTTGGGAATGTAAGCAACGATCTTGGTCTTGACCTACCATGTTGGTTAAGTAGCAGCTGTGTCATGCATGTCTGGGGGTTTGGTTTTACGAGGCATGGCGTACCTGAGGGGGAAAGCGCCCGACGTTTTATGCGTGGCGCTTTGGGGGTTTCCAATTGTACATATATATTCGATTCGTGACCGATGTTCGGTCGGACTTGATCCTAGAGGCTATTTGTTGGATCATGCAGGGCAGTAGCAATCAAAAGATGTCTAACACACTTCTGCATACTCTAGTTGAAAAATTGACTACGGCACAAATTTGCGGGGTCCTTTTTTGTGAGGCCTGGTTCTTCTGCGATGGGATCAATCTGGCTAGTCTGAGCACGACGTTGGCAGAAAGTCATGCCCTGTTCACGCCAGCCAAATATCTAACATAGGTGATGGGGTTATTGCGGCGGAGGTAGTTATTGAGGCTAGTGCATAGACTTTCCGTACGTAGTTAGCGCTCTGCTAAGCGAGGAAAATCAACCCCTCATTCATCACCAATCCTCATACACCACAAAGTCGCGATGCTAGACGCGTTTTCACGCGTTTAAATTTAACGACCAATATGCCTCGTTGGCCTCGCGCGCCTGATGCAGAAGAGCCCCTACAGTTAGCAATCACTGCCTGGTGGACGAACCTTTACCAGAACCGTGAGGCGTGTCCAATAGCCTATGATGTCAACCCGAATATATTCCGCAACCGCCTGAACGGCAAAACCCAACCACACAAGCTTGCTTACTCAAATTAATACCGAATTACACCGGAGGGCGAGGCCTCAATTGTCCGCTATTGTATATACCTCACGAGCACTGGATTCCCTTGTCGATACCGTGTTATCCGTACAATTGTGACCAAATTACTCCACTAAGAGGCTGGCCCTCTGCCTGAGTATACACATCTCGATCTGCTTGGCAAGCGGTGGGTATATACGTTTCTACTGCGGCAGGACGAGCTGCGCCTCTGCCATGTCCGGTCGCTCGAGCTCGAACGCGCGCTGGTAAATAATGACCCCGAATAAATCCTGCGCTTTTTTAACAGCTATACAAACGCCCGCGCTATGTACAGTATCGCGGATCAGGATGTATGGAACGTGGACGAGACGGGCTTGAGCAGATAAAATAGCACGTACAAAGCAAACTACAGAGGCAGTTGCTGAGGCCCTACAAGCTAAGGAAGCGGAACACGCCGCGCAGCAGCTTGCGCAACAGCAATTAGGTGCGCTTGAGCATGTCGAGCAGCAGTTAGCTACTGCTAAGCAGCGAGTTAGCGAGCTAGATGCTGCTGCACGAGCTGCTAAGGCCGCTAAGCAGGCAAAGGGTGATAGCAGTAGTGATGAGACGCGGTAGAGAGCGATGGCAGCACGGAGAGCGAGGACAACGACGTATAACCACTCCACCAAGTTATTCGCTATATACGGAAGCTCCATACAAACGTAGAGCTTCAAAAAACCGTGAATATTCCTTCTTTCAGTGTTATTCTGCGTGATTGTGTGTGGAAATGCTTGGTGTCATACAAACTTTTGGTGTTCGCGGCACTAAGCTACATCGACTTAGCCTCAATAACTACCTCCGCCGCAATAACCCCAGCACCTACGTTACAAGTTGGCGTCCTCCGATTGCGCGTGCCCCAACATACGGAAAGCCACAAGCCGATGGTGACTTTAGGCATAACCGCTTAGATAGGCCGACCTTACCTGGTCCGATCCATAGTCGGTCATCCACTCCGCAGCTTGATAATACCCCTGAATCCAATGGCCCAGCGGACCAAATCCAGCCCCAAACTGGTGAGTAACCTCGTGCGGCAAGATATAACGATGACCTCTCCAGCATCGGAAGTGATATGGAGGAAGATGTTGCGTCTGATCCCAGTGATTCAAGAAATCCCACGCTCGGATCTGATACCGCGCATAAAGGTTGTTGAGCAAGGTGAGATAGCCCTGATCTCCTGCTCCCCTGCTCGCAAACGTGAGGTGTTGGATGAGCGATCCAAGGGTGTGATCGGAGGCCCAGTCTTGCGGAGATGAAGCTTGAGAGCCATAGCTGTGGCGGATATGTTCGATAATATCTGTGAATGCCAGACTGTATACCGGCCTATCAATCCGTCTGTGCTATAGAGATATGAATCCAGAAAAGGAGTTCTCACGTGCTCACACCTCCGCCCATGGAGTATCCAGCAATGATTACTTTTTTCGGCACCATGTCATGATCATGCATGGCAGCGATTGCGTCGCCGAGAGCGGAGAAGACGGCGCTTTTCATCCCATTCCACATGCCCAAGTAGAAGCAGTGGACTCGATTCCCGTTAATATGGACCGGATATGGAAAATCCCACCAGTTTGGGCCCTTGCCATCGGTCCACAGGTTCTTATGAATCTCATCATCTGCAGACCCTTGAAAGGCAATGACGATTGTCTCGTGGTTGTGCACGAGAATAGCTTTGCGGAACTGATTGATGCCAGTGTGGATATCAATGGTCGTTGAGGCAGGATTCATGTAGTGGTTGCGAAGATCGTTCTGCAGAGCAGTAACGTCTGGAATTTGAGAGGCTTTCCATACTATCAAGGCAGCATGTTTGACATCGTGCCAATCGCCGGATCCGGGGTTGAGTTGTACGAGAGGCATGATTTATCGATTTTGTTAAGGTTCCAACAAATCTCGCAAATATTCTAAATGAGCAAGCGCTGTGGCAGCAAACAGAGACAAGAAATCGTACTATAAGTCGTTGCCTTCGTGGCGTACCGAGCGCATGCGGGCACTGCTTCGTGGAGGTTGGTGCCAAGAGGCTAGAGCCTAAGGGGTTTGAGAAGTGGTTATAAGACAAGAATTTGTTCAACCACTGGGGACACTCTGTTGGGACTTTACCCCGCACTAAAGAACAGGGGTTACTTGTCCGCTTACTGAACATACAATACAAGGAGGGTCGCCTGAGCGGGCCACCCGCCCTCCCTGCAACTTTTGGTGGCTTATAGTCGCATCCATACTCTTTTCGTAGATGATTACTATAATGCCACCAAAAGCTGCAGGGAAGGTGGCCCGCTCAGGCGACCCCCTTGTACAGTAGTACAATATAGTGTTAAGCAAGCATTTGAAAAATCACAAACTACGTAATGAAGTTACTAATCTCCCACCAGGAATCTCCCTTCGCCGGACCTAGTGTGCGGTCTTCAGAATGACGATCCCTTGAGCACCATCAATCATCAGTCCCCACCTGGGCACCCACCACCACCACCCACCAAACTATGCAATGCGAAAAGTGGTGATAACAGGCCTCGGTGCTATCACGCCGCTCGGGATAGGCAAGCCTTCCTCGCATCTCCCCCCAATATAAACCTAACAATATTTCGAAACTACTGCTGACGTTAAAACCCCAGGTGTCCGCCGCACGTGGACGCGCCTCCTCGCCAGCTCCAGCGGCATCGTCTCCATCGGCGCCCGCAGCCCACAGTTCGCAGTTCTCCCGAGCCAAGTCGCCGGAATCGTCCCTGAGGGCGCGCGCGCAGATGGCGGGTGGAACGCTAAAGAGTGGTTGAGGGCTGGGGTGCGTTCCATTCCTGACGCTGTTAAGGGGTTCACATGCTGACCGGATCAACAGGATGAACGGAAGATGGCGAAGTTTGCGCAGTATGCTATGGTCGCGTCGGAGGAGGCGTTGGCGGATGCAGGGTGGAGTCCTACGGCGGAGGAGGACCTGATGGCGACGGTATGTGAAGATGGGCGTCACGTGACGTTCATGATTTTTGACTGATTGGGGGTAGGGGGTGTACATTGGGTCGGGGATTGGGAGTTTGGATGATGTTTATGATACTACTTTGGCTTATGATAGGGGGGTAGGTTTTCACATTTCCAGTCTGTTTGGAGACGCGCATTCTAACACAGTTCAAACCAGGGCTACCGCAAAGTCTCCCCCCTCTTCGTCCCACGACTTCTGATTAACTTAGCCGCTGGCCATATCTCTATGCGCTACGGCTTCAAGGTCTGTCTTTACCACCCCACTCTCCCTCTCTGTTTCTTTAACTAGCCCTCTTACTTAAACCCATCTCCAGGGCCCCAACCACGCCACCACCACTGCTTGCACCACCGGCGCCCACAGCATCGGCGACGCAGCCCGCTTCATCAGCTTCGGCGACGCAGACGTCATGGTCGCGGGCGGCGCTGAGTCTTGCATCCACCCGCTCGCGATTGCGGGTTTCGCGCGCGCGAGGAGCCTGGCCACGGCCTGGAACGATGCACCGCAGCTGGCGTCGAGGCCGTTTGATAGAGAGCGTGCTGGGTTTGTTATCGGGGAGGGTGCCGGGGTAGTTGTGCTTGAGGTGCGTATGCTCCTTTACGATTTAATGAATTCTTGACCACAGATTGGGGATGATGCTAATGCTTTCATGTAGGAACTCGAGCACGCAAAGGCCCGCGGTGCACGAATATACGCCGAATTGACCGGTTACGGCCTCTCGTCTGACGCACACCACATGACCGCGCCGAGGGAAGATGGACAAGGGCCTTTTCTAGCCATGAAGCGTGCGCTGAAGCACGCAGGCCTCAAACCAGCTCAAGTTGATTATGTCAACGCTCACGCAACATCGACGCCTCTGGGTGATGCAGCGGAGAACAGAGCGATCAAAGACCTACTATTGGGAGAAAACGGCAAAGCCAAGGCGTCAGAAATCAATGTAAGTAGTACCAAAGGCGCAATTGGACACATGCTCGGTGCTGCTGGGTCGGTGGAGGCGATATTCACTATTCTGGCACTGCATCACGTGAGTTCAACCTCCACCCAATTTTCACTTCTCTACTTACATAAGCGAAGAATTCTCTACCACCGACGCTCAACCTCGATAACCCTGGCGATCCTGCGGATGATTTCAATTGCAATTACGTCCCGCACACGCCGCAAGACTGTCGAGTAGACGTCGCGTTGTCGAATAGCTTCGGCTTCGGCGGCACGAATGCGAGTTTGTGTTTTAGTAGATTCAAATGAATCCAAGCACCAATTCTAAACAAACACATCCAAGCTAAGTATGCGCACCTAATTAAGCAGGAGGGGAGCACGCAAACCCCACGCGTGAGCACATTTACCCCGCCTATCGAGATAAGTTCGTGATTAGTGAGACGCGAGCGCGAAACTAACCCCACCACACTTACAATGCTTCTTTCAACAACATCCGGTGTCCCGCGATTCTCTAGACTGTGCTCTGTCTTCTTCTCTCTTTCATGTCCTGAGCTGGAGCGTACCTAATGTCCATTCCGCACTCTCGTTGAGAAGTCTTTGTAGCCACGATGGTGGATCTAGAACTCTCCCCTCCTCCGACCCCCGCGGAGGCTGCTACCGCGGCGGAGAGACGCGGGCTAATGACTGGCTTCTCGAAGAAGGCAGCAGTGTATCATGGACGCGTGCCGTATATTAGCAAATTACCGTTCTCGGTGGTAGCAGTAATCATAATTCTGATACTGGTTAATTGCCTGGTCTGGGGTGGGGTGGGGATTGTGTTGGTACGTGCAAGAGCTCCAGATTGTTCCCCTTTGGTCGGTATATACAGGATGCTAATATATGAGTTGTAGCATTTCCATGGGTAAATCCCCCCTGCGCATAATGGATGATAGAAAGGCATCTTGAGACTGATGTTCTGTAATACAGCGCCCTCATCTCCACCGCAATCCTCTCCTACACCCTCGGTCTCCGCCACGCCCTCGACGCCGACCACATCTCCGTAATCCCCCTTATCCCTTTCCTCTATCCCCCACCCCCATCCCTCCCCTTCTTACCCCCTAAACCCCCTTTCAGGCAATCGACCTCATGACCCGCCGCCTCATCGCCGCCAACCAACGCCCCGTAACCGTCGGCATGTTCTTCTCCCTGGGCCACAGCACCATCGTCATCATCACCTCCATCACCGTCGCCGCCACCGCCGCCGCCGTCTCGCACTCCTTCTCCGCCTTCTCGCGCGTCGGCGGCATCATCGGCACCTCCGTCTCCGCCGCCTTCCTGCTAATCCTGTCTGTCTTAAACATGTACATCCTGTACAAGCTCGTCCGCCAACTCCGGCTCATCATCAACAGCGCACCGGGGACGGAGGAGGCGTTTAAGATCCAAGGCGGGGGTTGTTTGTTTCATTTGTTGAAGAAGATGTTTAAGTTGATCGACCGACCGTGGAAAATGTACCCCCTCGGCATCCTCTTCGGCCTGGGCTTCGACACGTCGTCCGAGATCGCGATTCTGGGCATCTCGAGCATCCAGGCCGCGAAGGGGACGAGCATCTGGCTGATCCTGATTTTCCCGCTGTTGTTTACAGCGGGCATGTGTCTGCTGGACACGACAGATGGCGCACTGATGATGGCGCTGTATACGAGCACCGCACTGGCACGGGATCAGATTGCGGTGTTGTATTATAGCATTGTGCTGACGGTCGTGACGGTGCTGGTGGCGCTGGTGATTGGGATGGTGCAGGTGCTGACGCTGGTGCTGAACGTGGCGGAGCCGAGGGGGAGGTTTTGGGACGGGGTGGGGAGGGTGGGGGAGAGGTATGATGTTGTTGGTATGTTTGCTCCTGCTTTACTTTTCTATTTAGTAGAGGTAGTGGTTGTGCTAATGGAGGACAGGTGGTGTGATCTGTGGCTCTTTTGTAGTCTTCGGAGGGTTGAGCGTGTTGCTGTATAAGCCGTGGCGGCGGCGGGTGGATCGGAAGAGGGGGGCCAGGGCGGAGTTGTTGGGGGTGCCGCAATATACGGATACGGAGGCGACGGGGTCCGAATTGGAGGAGGGGAGAGAGGGGGGAGTGATGCAGAGGAAGGGGGGAAGTGGGGCGAGAGAGACGATTGTTGATCTTGATATCGAGGCGGTTGGGGGACACTCTTCGAGAGCGTGATGGAGTATATGTGTCGAGAGGATCATAGAATCGACTGTTGCTAATAGTTGGAAGAGTGGCAACCGAGTTCCATGCTTCATTCTTGCGAATGCAAGCTAGTCGTCGTTGCTGTTGCTAATTCGGTTGCCCCTCTTCCTCAATCCAGATTTGGACGGTAAGTCCAGCTCCTCAAGATCAACTCCTGTGGCGTCTCCACCATGGAGTCGGACATACCGCGAACGGCGTCGGTCTTCTTCCTCGTACACTTCCCGCGGATCTAATCCACAAGCTTTGAGAGCCTCACACCACTCTTCCTCTACTTCCCACATAATGGCGTAGCTAGTCGGTGTCCATATATCATCCGGGTCTGTTGGGTCTTTAAGGCTATAGTGCCACATATGATAGATGTCGGCGCCGGCACGAATGAACAGTTCGACCATGCACCAAAGCGGAGGTTCTTCATGGTTGAATATTCCCGTGACGGGCACTTCGGTGCTGCTTTGCATTTTGGTGTCGCTCTCTTTGCCGCGATATTGCTCTTCGTTTTCCCTCTGCCGGTTCCGTTTTGCTCTCACCATCTGCCAAATGCAGAGCATGAGTTCAGACCAGCCACAATTACAGGAGGTTTGTTGCAAGCCGAGTCCGGCCTCCAACATTACTTCCAAAAGTGCCAAACTGCGGGCATTGGGTGCCAGGGGAGTACTGCATATATAGGGACAACATGAAAGATACGCTTCAAATACGCTCACCCCATTACCTAACAACCACTTAATCCACAATTTGAGCGCCTTGGCGTCAATATTACAGTTTCCCTTTATTATCTGGAAAAAGGTATTGCAGAGAAACCTGTCCCAGTCCGAGTAATCACAGCCTGCAAGCTCGAGTTTCAGCGAAAGCGCAATCAAGGAATGTATGGAGTCTTCTGACAGCTGCGTCACCGATCTGAAGCCTAAGCGGTCATAAGGCAAGCGTAAACTATGCGCAAGGGCGTTTCCTCTATGGTAATCACTCTGTGTAGAATCGCTTCCTGCTGAAAGAAGGTATTGAGCAACGCAATATTGACCGTACGCGATGGCCCAATGTAGGAGCGTCCACCCATTGCTGTCTTGGTCTCTCGGGCTTGCCATACCATCCATGAAAAGTTGCTGAATACCTGGAATATCACCATCGCAAATCCTGCCCCATATCGGTTCATCCCGAGATATGATAGGGAAAGTCTTCATGCAAGGAGCCATTTGATAGTATCCCCGTTGGTCCGGCGCCGAAGAGTAATGGATTGCAATTCCAGGCTTGGCAAAGAGTGCCTGCGATGGGTAGAAGTGAATCGTGATCATGAAATCTGTTGAGCCCTCGGATGAATAGGCCCGCCTTTTTCTCATTGTTTTGATTTCAATGGTCAATCTACCCACACGCCACATGAACTGCCAGCTTTTTTGGAAGGTTTGGAACACAATCGTCCGTTTGGATCTTTGTAAGCCTTTATTCGATGAAGCCGTGGTGTCATCGGTCGGATAGGAACGCTTTTTTCTCGAGAAGTCTTCTAGAATTTCTGTAAAACGTTCGTCGACGCGGGCGTTCCTAGTTTCAGGATGCCTGTCGGTGTCTGATGGGAAGACGTGCGCAGAAGCCGTGTCACGAGAGAGTTGGGTGCTGATATCCTCAATCATCGTATTCGCTCGGCGGAGAAACGCCTCGTTTTGTCTTTGATGTTTGCTTTTGCTCTGCTCGAGGAGAGACGGGAGGATGCTACGCAGTTGAGCTCGAACAATACGTCCTAGCATATCAGGATTACTGGCAGAAATGACCGTCGCCGAGTCAATAGGGTTGCGTCGTGTGTTCAAACCCTCGACGGCGCGCAGTATCTGTGTTTGACCTTGGGCGAGATGGGCTGCGCCTGTGTCGACTAACGTGCGTGTCCCCTCTATAGCCATCAGTATCTGAGTCTGAGAATCTCGAATGACTCCGGTATTATTCGTGATTCCTGATAAAGTCTGGATGACTTGAGTTTGGCGAAGTGATTGCTGTGCTGCTGCATTGTCGTAAGCAATGCGCTGATCATCTAGGTTGCCTAGGATTTGACTTTGAGAAGCTTGAATGGCCCCAGTATCGTTCGTGATGCCTGACAGAGTTTGAGTGATTTCCGTTTGGTGGAGGAGTTGCTGGCATGCCGTGGTTGCGTGGGCAATGCGCTGATTGCTTAGGTCGCTCAAGATTTGAGTTTGAGAGTCCCTAGTTGCCCTGCTATGTTCTGATAGATCCTGAGATATGCGATCCTGCTTAAGGAATTGTTGTTCGACCACCTGACTCGTACTTTCTAGCAAGGTATGAATGGTGTGGTTGTCTTGCCGAGTCTTGAGTTGATGAATACTGCAAAATTATTAGCATTCCCATAAATTGACAATGGTAGCCGCAGCGCTCACAGCCCAACGATTTCTGTGGCTTGAATTATATCAAGCTTGCGGCGATCAAGCCTTTTGGTGGCGTCTTTGATCTTTTTTTTGTCGAAAACCCACTTAACCTTTGCCGCCAGACTAGGCGACAAGTCCACAGGTAAGATGCCCTTCAGAATGTCCATGTCATCCCGAAAGCCTTGGATGGCTCTAGTGATAGTTTCGGGGAGGATTTCGAACTCTACAGTCGCATTCTTGGATTTCGCGAACTCGTCGATGTAGTTCCGGAGGCTTCGAATGTTCGACTCTGCGTCTCGAAGTGCTATGAAAGTGTCAGCAAGAGCCAAAGCCGCGTACCGATACAGGGATTACCATCTCGCAACGCAACGATATCCTTTTTGGCATCCTTGATCTCGCAAAGGAATCCATAAGCCTTCCGACTTAGCCGCAACGCTGTATCAGCGATCTGAACAGCGCCTGCAGCCGCTCCGAAAATGGATATCGGGTCGGCCATGAGTGTCCGTTTTAGCAAGTTAGGTTAGAAGAAGAGAAGATGTGGAGAGAGGATAGAAGAAAGAAGAGTGCTGTGCTAGTACGGCACAGCCCACTTTCGACTACGGCTGGAGATGCAGCCTTGGGAGACAAGGCTGAATATGCAGCTTGGAGCGGCAGCACCAACCCGCGTCCACGAAGACGAACGAGGCAGAAAAGAAAAATGAAGTGGACGCATGATGACGCTGGGAAAGCTTTCCGGTCAAAGTACATTGAATATGATGATCGAAGGTTGAAGAGCGTAATGTGAGTAGTACTGTTGACAAAATTTAGGTGCGGTAACAGTCTTCGTGTTTTAGTGCCCCCTTCGCGATTGTCTATACCTGTATTAGAATTTAGGCGAGGCCGAACACTGCCTGCAATGACTATGCAGGAAGAGTGTCGAGGATGTGAGTTAAAGGATGGCCGTCTGATGTTGAACTGAGATCGGCGGCGGTATCGGAGGTAACAAAAACTGGAGCAATATCCACCATAACCATCATGCGAGCATCTCGTAGCAGCAAAAGTCCGTTCTAGATCAAAGTAATACTTTTTCATAACCTAGATGCTCTCCTCGTCTCTATTAGACACTCCAAAACTATGCAACGGCATTCCGCCTTCTGGTATATTGCAGTAAAAATAAAACACAACCTCAGTCTCCGAGACGTCATGGTTGTAAGAACGCCACACTTTTATCAACTTGCAGCAATCAATGCTACATAGCTTACCACCTCCTGACCGATCAAGCCGTCTATATTAACGCCAATCAAAAAATTCCACTAAAAGATGCCCGAAGACAGAGAAGAAGTCCCACGACGACGCTCCTTTTCACCTCGACGAAAACAGCTGTTTCAAGCTCCCGTTCGCCGGCGATACCGACGGTATCCTCGCCACCTTCTCATACCGGATCTCGCCCTCGACAACGCCCAGTTCTGTCCGGGAACTCGCGGCGCTCTTGAGCGAGTAGTGGCTGAGACTAGACGGCGCCGTGGTGCCCGCGGTGAACGGCATGACGAGATCGATAGAACGGGAGCCATAGCCTTTGTACGACGAGCTATGCGGGTTGTTGCGGGGCGGCAGGGGCCGGTTCGAGGGCGTGTACGGCATTGACATGCTCGCCGACGAAGCGGGCGTGTGCGACAACGAGGGCGCCGCGCTCATCGTGGCGTGGGAAGTGGAGGCGCGGCTGTAGCGGGGGCGGGACGGGCGCGTCGCGCAGGTCTCGGTTTTTGCGGCTGCAGACTGGAACTGGCGAAGGTACCGCGACGCCTCTGAGTCCTGTCCCAGCTTTTCGTCGCCCGAGTTGGCATTGTCGTCGGACGAGAGTTCTGAGAAGGCGATGGAGGAGCGCTGCGAGCGGGGCGCGGTTGGGGAGCGCGGTGCGACAATGTCTCGGGTGGGGAAGTCGTCGAATGAGAATTGGGAGTAGGGCGTCGGTGGAGGCGAGTAGTCTATTGAATACGACACGACCTTTTCGTTGTCCTTTTTTCGACAGCTACAACAGAGTGGGTCAGTAAATGGTGTAATCGAGGGAATATTTGGCCTATCATACCTCTCCGAGCAATATAGCACTGAATTATTGGGGACGATAATCTGCTTTTCGCAAGTCGTGCTACGGAAAGAAATCAGCATGAATCGCTTCGGCATCGATGGAGTCTAACTTACCAGTACTGCAAAAAACTCGAGGCCATCACTTCCTCGTCCTCAGTGTCGTCGTCCTTGTGGTGGTGGGCCTTGAGCCCGCCTTTATGGCCGCCGTACGAATGGGAGCGTTTGGAGAGAGGGGCCGGTTTCGAGGGGCGAGCATGGGCCGGCAGCGGCTTTTTAGAGTGGTGGGCGGAGCGGTGCTGAGTCGCCATTGGATTGGAAAGACGGTGAGAGGTTTATAGGATTGGGTGCGGTTGGACTGCGAGAGTCGCGTCACCGTATCAGAGGCAGCGTGCAATGATGCTCCCAGCAAGGACTGACGCCGGGGGAGAAGCGGTGACACAGCCGCAGAGAAGTGCTGATGTGCTGATGGCACTACAATGGTGGCGGGTGGTGGCAGGGCGTAGGCCGGCTTTGTTCGAGCCCTTATCGTGATTCCCTGCAGGAAGAATTTAGCCAGGAACGGCGCACAGAAGAGAGCCCGCCGCCGCCGAATTGCGCCTGGTTATCCGGCCTGGCGATATCCACGTTGGACGAGGTGCAGCAGCGGGGAGACTCGGAGGAAACGTACACCTACGGCGGGGGGTGCGACAGCGGAGTGCACTCACTTCGCACTCGGATATCTCGTGCAACACTCTCTTCTACCACGCCGACGACGATCCCGACCTGATAAGCTTTATGCTTTGGCGACGCTGGACGAGCCGAGGGCCTCCTTGTAGCGGCTTGCGACGGCTGTCGGGCTGCGCTAGAGAACAGGATGCCGTGTCAGCTAGGGCTGGCTGGGGCTGGGGCTGGGTGCTGAGAGAGATCGTTGCTGGGAGAACGATGGGCAGCAGCGAGGTCGGAGCTGTGTAAGTGTATGTAGTGGGTGCGGATGATGTGTGCGTGGATCTGGGAGGCCGGGAGCGAGGGGTCGGCTCTATATATCAAGTGAGGGGACTGCAATATGTATACAGTCACGATAAGCTCGAGCCGGGTCGCTTCGTGGTCGACGAGACGATGGCGAGGACAATGGAGCCATCGCTATCATCGAGCACACCATCGCCGAATAGCGGACTTCCATAAGAGCACAACCCCACCCGCACTCTCCACAGAAGCTCCGTCGACCCCTTCCCACACGCAGCAGCATGACCAGTCGTCGATTCAGCCGGCGCATCACCTCCCCCGAAAGCAGCCAGCCCCTCAAAGCTGGACGTGCCCGCCAGCATGGTGTTGTGCATAAGCGGAGCGTGTGGTTCCCTGCAACGAATCACCATCGCCACTATCCCACGGGACCATACGTTGAATCAGGTCCACGCGTTGGCAGTTGGTTCGTGACGGTACCGAGATGGTTCGTTGTTCTAGAACTATGGGTGCATCAGACCCGTACGCGTCGTCCCAGCGTGCCAGTAAGCTTTCATATGAACTGCCGTGACAGTATTGTATTACCCGGACGTACTATTTCGGTTTTGTATTCAGTTGCTGTTTCAAAAAACTGGAGCTTTAAGAGTTTTTCCGTCAACCTGAAGTAACTCAAGTGGGGAAAGCTGCCATCAGTCGAGCACAGCTTTAAAGAAACCAGCCGGTTGGAATTTTCTGACTGACCCACGTGTCTGTTCCGGTTGCTTTGGAGTCACCACCAACCAACAACTCCGGCACGCTTCACGCCATTCTCTTTCCTCTGCTTGCAATTATGCAATCCATGCCCCCAAAGCGCAATTTGATAGGCCACATTTCCTACCACCGGATTACCGCTTGCAGAACGGACAGCAGAGCCTGCAGGCGCTGCATCAGTCAATCAATTAGAATTTGAACCGGTCTCCCCGTTCCTGGGAGCGAGTGATAGTCAAGATCCGAATCGGCGCTGCTGAATAGAAGGGCCCATCCTGCAACTCGATTGGCACCATGTCGAAGTCGTTGTCTGCGAGGCCGAAATTGTTCCGCTCTACCACAATACCAGTAAGCTGAGAACATGTGTAAAAATAGGGCCTTCTTTGTGGCGAAACGGTGAGACCCACTGCATGCGTTGACAAAGGCCTCGAACGTTTGCTCGTTGCGTACAGCTGCGGCAAGGAGCACCTTGAGAGACGGTCTGATGTCGAACAATTCGCTCAATGTGGAGACCAGTGGCAAATGTAGTCTTTTGTCGTAAGTCTGCAGAATTGTCTCAACTTTCCGCTGTTTGAGCAGGTTTAATACTGTGGGGAAGCCTTACGACATCTGCGGCTAGAACAACGTCTAGTTTGCCAAGTCCGTAGTCTTCTTCAAATGTTTTGGCATCAAGAGGGAAGCCCCATTTCAGAGCCGCGCACTCCACAGATGTGGAAGACGCGCTAGCGTCTACTCCATTGATGAATACGTTATCTCTCATCGAATCGACGATGGATTCGTCGCCATCGGTAGCTGTCACCCGGGACGCTCCCAGATGTTTGGCACATAAGATAGATAGCAGCCCTGTTCCAGCGCCTAGTTCAAGGACGTTTTGCCCTCGGACTATGCCAATCCCCCCAGATGTACTGAGGAACTTTCCCAAATGAAGACCAGATTCCCACGTTCGTAGTCCGGTGCTTCCAGAAGAAGCAAGAACCGAGCGAGATTCAAGGATTGTCACCGTCCGCTCATCCGGCACTTCATTGCTACCCGGACTGTTCGGGAACGCGTACGTCACGAACACGCGCTGTTGAGCTGCAAAAGCTTCTGATGGTTGCTTCGAACTGAGAAGAGTAGCTAGATGAGAAATCAGATCTTCTGAGATCTCCTATTCGCACTCGATGAAATTGATCATCAGTATGTACATATTGAAGAAAAGCGTGTTTAATATGCGTGTTCTAAGGCGTGCATGGAGACTGGGTATGAGGATGCAAAAAGAAAATGGAGGTAATGGCGTACTTCCTCCTCGGGATCCTCAATTGCGGACTCGATCTTGCTCACAAGACTCTTCAGAAAGCGGACTTGATATCGGTCCGGCGGCGATGACTGCAACTTGTCCCGATCAATGAGATTTTCGTAGATCCACGCCTGCGTATCAGCAGTCTTGAGAAGCGCACCATCTGGCCATCTGATGTGCTCGATTTCGACCAACTGCAGATACTCTCGACGTAACAGATCCAGCTGCCTCTGCTGCGAAACCGATGATGCCATAACGTGATGAATCTCGCGATGCCCTCGTGGTGGTGTTGCTGCGGGGCGCAACGGTTGGCGTGAAGTCCATGCGATTTCGCTTAGCAGCCCACTGCCAAGACTTGAATTTACCGATCGCACCTCCTTCATCGAAAACCCACCGACGACGCCTCGCTGCTTCACGACAACCCCATCTCCCAACCCAGCAGAGAGAAGGATACAGGTACGACAGTCCATTGAGCATCTCTCCCTATGTTTGGCTCGCCCGCACCGCCGTGCAGACCCGCAGGACCCCGAGTACTGACGACCTGGATAGCGAGTCTCATTCCCTTTCGCCCAGCATGTCCGACTCCCAAGTGACTCTGCGCACGCGCAAGTTCATCCGAAACCCGCTCCTCGGCCGCCGCCAGATGGTTGTGTAAGTGCCTGGAATCGCTCTCCGACGTTATCTCAAAGCCGCGGAAGTCAAGTCTAACCCGCTACAACAGCGACGTCCTCCACCCCAACCGCGCCAACGTCTCCAAGGACGAGCTCCGCACCAAGCTCGCCGAGCTGTACAAGGCCAAGAAGGACGAGATCTCCGTCTTCGGCTTCCGGACGCAGTATGGTGGCGGCAAGAGCACCGGCTTCGCCCTCATCTACGAGAGCAACGAGGCGATGAAGAAGTTCGAGCCCCACTACAGACTAGTGCGCGTCGGCATGGCGAACAAGATCGAGAAGGCTAGCAGGCAGCAACGTACGTCTCACCACCCCCGGGATGGCAATGAGCTCAGAATTGGATGGTGGACATGCGCTAACGTCCCTCTCTCCAAACAGGCAAGCAGCGCAAGAACAGGGGCAAGACAATGCGGGGCACGGCCAAGACAAAGGGAGCGTCGAAGAAGGACAAGAAATAAGCGGCTGGCTGATGGCGGTGGCAGTGGAGGCGGTCTTTCGAGGAGAGGTGGTGGCGGAGATGCGACCACGACGACGGCGGGACGGGACGCGGAATATCGGGCATTTTGTACATCACCGTACGCCAAAAAGCTCTGCTTGCGAGGCAGTGGTGTGGGTGGCGAGGCAAGATGGATGGCGTTCATGCTTCATTTGTCTACTGATCCCGGCCTTTGCATAGCATCAAATGGACTCTTCTTTCGAGATTGCACCCGATAGCCATCGTTGTTTTGCGATGCTGGTGTTTTTTTCTGGCATCACATGAATGTCTTTTAATCTCTATCAGTGTTTCAAAGCCATGAACATGTAACTCCCAGTTACAGCGCCCGCAGAACACATCACAAAACGCTTGAGGTGAATTTCGAACATGCTTGAAGGTATGCAGTAAACCCGGAAGAAGTAGTACATGCAATACTCGCCTTGCCTCGAACCTCACCTTCACATCTGGTCAAACACAGCAGAAAACTGGAAGACCCTACGCACGCCAAGAGCGTCAAGTGTTACCACCCCGCCTCTGTGAACTGTAGGCTTCTTATTACCTTTGTAGGAACGAACGTCAATGGTCTGCTATTTATACCCAATATCAGCGTTTAACGTCTTAAAAACTTCAACAGCCGCCATATCACGCTAATCCTGTCGACCAGACCCGTTCCATCATCTCCTTGACTTACACGTCTCACTAACGCGCTACGGCTGCCGCAACATGAATGTTTAGATGTGATTGAGTTGACCTCTTCAAAGTTGGTGTTTTGATTGTCTACTTAGACTATTGCCGATGCATAATTCTACTATTGCCCTCGAGTAGAGTAGTCCCGATTGCAGACAGCAAGTCTGCCGTTACCAAATTTTCCGTTCCCAGCTATGCATACAAGCTACACCAGCAGCTCGTATCAGAAAGCAGCCATGACACCATTACCATAAAACCATGGCAGTACCATACCATACCATGCCGAAAACCCATACCTACCAACCAATCAAACACTTCTCCCTCACAACTCATCCCCCTAACCACTCATTCCCACATCTCTCCCCGTCTCAACCTTCCCCTCAACACTCTTCACCATCTCCTCCGCATTCTTAATCCCCAAGAATCTTGCCGGCACCCCCCTCGCCGGCCTCGCCCCAGCCCCATCCCTCGCATACACCGGCCCGACATAGCACCCCAAACTCCCACTCCACCTCACCCCACCCGCAACAACCCTCTTCACACACTTAAAAGCATACGAATCCCTGTATCCCAGCCCGGTGCCGGGATCGCGATACCACGCCGGCAGTCCCGTAATCACGCACTTCAGCTGCTCCGGCAGCGGCAGCGCGGAGTTCTTGGTCTTGTAGTGGCTGGGCTGGATCGACGCGAAGGAGAGGGCGTCGGCGGGGGACCAGGCGAAGAGTGGGGTTGTGAGGGCAGCGAGGGCGGCGGGGTTTTTCTTGGTCGTAGCGGTGGCGGAGGTGCGGGAGTTGGCGTGGTAGGGGGGCAGGTCGTCGAAAGAAGGGAAGGCGGCGAGGGTGATGAGGGAGCGGAGGGCGAGGTCGATGGTTTTCTTGGGGACCGGGGCCGGGGGTG